CCCCCTCCCTCTGTTCTCTCCCCTCCCTCTCTCCTCTCTCTCGACCCCCCTGTCTCTTCCCCCCCTCTCCTTCTCACCCATCATGCATCAGTCGCAAGACCCTCGTGTACCTCATCCTCACACTCAACCACGTGTACCCTGACTACGACTTCAGGTAGGTAACGCTCTCTCCCTCCCTCCCTCGCTCCCTCTCTTGCTCCCACCCTCACTCCCTCTCTCCCTGTTTCTCCCTCCTTTTCCTCCTCCATCTGTCGCTCGTTCTCCCCTTCTTATCTCACTCCCTCTCTCCCACCTTCTCTCGCTCTATCTTGCTTCTTCTCCTATCTGGGCGTCGCATCAATCTGCAACTTTCTCTCTCTCCCAGTTTCCCGCTGTTCACCTGTCCCGTAAACACGCTTTTCTGTATCGTCTGATTCTTTCATCTGTCCCGTTGTCCTCATCTCGCATCCTCCCCTCCCTCCTACCCAACCCTTTCCCAAACCGATCCCTTCTCGCTCTCTCCCCATCTCTGCAAGCGTCCTCATCCGTCATCCTTGGCAACCCTCCCTGTCTTTTCTCTTTCCCTCCCACTCCCTCTCCTGCTCGCCACCACACCTGCAGCACGCTGCGGTCGCATCACTTCAGCAAGGAGAGCGGGCCAGGGGCAGTCAAGGACCCCATAGACCAGCTGCTGCGCGAAGCAGCCAAGGTACGCGCCTCTGCTTCCTGCCCACTTATTTTCCCACCTGCTCTTTTGTGCCCCCTCTGCTCTGTTGTCCCTCCCTTGCGCTGGTTCTCGTTCCCCAAGTCGCTTGTTTCCCCGTCCTGTCTGGTTATGTTTCCTGGACGGTTGTGTTCCGCTCTGGCCAGCTGTTTCTCCGTGGTCGGTCCGGCTGTGTCTTTCCTGATCAGTCCGGTTGTGCCTTTATTGGCCAGTTGTGTAACCTGCTGGCTAGTTGTGTTACCAGCTGGCCGGTTGTGTTAACAGCTGGCCGGTTGTGTTACCAGCTGGCCAGTTGCCTCTCCATTAGGCCAGATGAGTCATGTGAGCCAAGTTCAGAGCCAGTGTGCTGGCGTGCAGGGTGCAGGATGGACGAAGAGGGCAGCCCACTAGGTGATCAGGTCATTAGTTGATGGTCCAGAGGACTATGGGAGGGAGGCTGGGTTAAAGGAGTAAGACTGGGGGTTGGTGCTGTGGGGACGGAGTTGGGAGAGGGTAGGTGAGGACGGGGTAAGGATGTTGAGTCTTCCGCATGGGCAGTGCATGTTTAGGGCGTGCAATCGGATGTGGTGTGGTGTGGTGTGGTGTGGTGCAGCGTGTTGTGATGTGATGCGATGTGAGAGCCGGTAGCTCAGTGGCAAGAGATCCGGTGCATTCACTGGAGGGTCCCGGGTTCAATCCCCGGCCGGTTCATTTCCATCCTGGCATCCTCATGCGTCGCTCGTTGTTTCTGCGCACCCTAAGAGCCGTCAACTTATCATTCTCATAATCCCCCAACCAATTATCAGCCATTTTCTTGAATCCGGTCCAGGGGTTGGTTTGGGCTGGGATGGTGGGAGAAGGCCAAGGGTGTGGGTTTGCGTCTGTCGGTTTCTACTCTCTACGAGCAAACAGTCTTGAGGGACGGAGTGAGGGGGAGGAGGAAGTGGTTGGAGAGAAGTCTGCGCTGAGAAGGCCACAGCGTATCCGTGCATTATAAGACCCTCTCTGGCATATCATGATATGATTGGCTGCGCTGATATGGCCACGGCATATCCGTGCATTATAAGACTGATGGTCTGATTTTTTTTCTCCTGGTTGGAATACGCATGGAAGCCAAATCTTGAGATTGGTTTGAGAGGGAAAGGCAGTAGGTTCTGAATGGGCCATGGAATGATGGACGAGGAGAGCTAACACTGCACCACCTAAATGGTATTGCGTGCCAGTGACCTCCTGAGGTCAGAGCTGTAGTTCTGTGGTATACCCTGTGGGACTCTGTAATGTTGTCAAGGCTACAACTGTTGCACCTGCCTTGCCTGTCTGCCTGCCTGCCTGCCTGCCTGCCCGCAGGCCCACCCACCCACCCGTCTGCTCGCCTGCCTGGTGTTCGTTCAGTGCAGGGTTCATTCTTATTTTTACTCTGTTGCTCTGTTCTTGTTGTTTACAATATGCTTCCGCACCTTCTCTCACACCTCTCGCATTCTTCTCGCGCTTCTCGCATGCTTCGCTCCCCCCTTTCTCAATTGTGCATCATGAGCTTGTTTCTCGCATGCTTCTCGCGCTTCTCGCATGCTTGCTCCTTTCCCTTACTTTCCTCATCCCCTCATCCGCGCTTCATCCAACCCACCCGCCCCTCTCACCTTTTCAGCCATCCACCCACACCATTACACATGCACCACTCCATCAACTTTCTTGCAATGTATTAAATGCATCCCATGGCTTGGCATGGCATGGCGTGGTGCAACATGCCATGGTGTGTTGGTGCACAGCTATGGGAGGAGGAGATGGGCAGTGACGTGGCCTTTGCTGACGCCCTCTGGTCCTCCATAGACGATGTGAGCCCTGCACTGTCTGTCTAGTGCAGTGACTTTCCCTCATCATCATTCCGTTTATAGAAAAGTGAATAGTTTATATATACTCTTTTGTGTGTGTAACACAACTCAGCCACCGTGCTTAAGATTGGTACCCACGCTCTTTGCAGTGGATCTGCATGGTAAAAAAGGGAGGAAAGAGGGGTTGGGGAAGCAAGGTCTGTCCATATGGCTTCGGATGTCACTGCTGGGCTGACCGTTGCCTCACTGTGGAGCATGATATTGCCCCTTGCTGTGTTACCCTGCAAGTGATTGTTGAGCATTATTAGTCGGGGGGGTTGCATGGTTGTCCTGCTGCTCCTGCTGTTGCGCTGCTGCTTCTGCTACTCGTGACGTGTCTTGCTATATCGCCTGGTGTGCATGCGCATGTGCATGTGAATGTGGATATGTGTATGCATGTGCGTGAAAATGTGGATGTCCGTGTGTGTGTGTGTGTGTGTGTGTGTGTGTGTGTGTGTGTGTGTGTGTGTGCACGTTTGCATGTGCGTGTGCATGCCCCACTGCAGGTGATACAGCTGAGCGAGTGCGACGTGTACAGTTACCAACCCGACGTTGACACTGACATATTCACTGACAGCAACAGCATGTCAGTCTACAGAACCCTTCATTTGACACATCATGCCCACCCCACCCCTGCTTCCGCTGATTTCCCTCTCGTCCTCTCTCTCACCCTCCATTTCCCCCTTTTTCCCTTCTCGCTCGCGCTCTTTCGTCCTTCATTTGCCCGTACTCTCACCTTGACCTTTTTTCATTCGTCTCAACTCTTCTTTTAGTATTTCTTTTTCCTTATTTCACCCTAAGATCTCCTGGTTCCTCCACTGTGTTTGCTCGTGCGCCCTGCAGATGGTCCTTCAACTACTTCTTCTACAACCGCAAGCTCAAGCGGGTCCTCTACTTCACCTGTCGCTGTCGCAGGTGCGCTTGCCCACTGCCCTCGCTACCACCTTCACTGATACCTGCGTAGGTCCACTCAGATCTGCTTGTGTCTGCATGGATTTTCTTGGATGTTGTTGGATGTGCTTCTGTTTCTCTGCCTCGCCACCATGCCCGTTATCTCTCTCTCTCGACTGGAGTGTCGTTGCTCCACCCTTTTCCATGTTCCTATGTTGCTGCGTATCCTCTCTGCAGCTTGGCTTCTCCACTCCCTCATGCTCTACCTGCTCGTTTCTCCATGGTGCTCTTTCCCATGTGTTCTCCCCCAATGCGCATGTACTGTCACGTCTTGCCATGCCATACCATGCCATGCCATGCCATACCATGCCATGCCATGCCATACCATGCCATGCCATGCCATGCCATGCCACACCATGCCACACCATGCCACACCATGCCACACCATGCCACGATGCTGCACGCATGTGCCCTGGCAGCAAGGTGGGAGCAGAGGACTCATCATCAGAGGAAGGGGAGAGCATCGGAGACTATGCAGACATGGCAGCCGATATGGACCTCTAGCTCCCTTCACACTTGCTTTGCTGTGTCACGTATTCTGTCATATACCGTGTCACTTGTGGTGATGCCGGCACCCTGAGGAGCATTGCTACTCTGCTGCCCTTCGCCGCCTGCGGCTGCTGCTGCTGTTGCTGTTTCAATGTGTCACTTCACTATGCTTGCTGCAAAGCCGTATGGAGTTTATATCCTCCCGGCCCTTTGTCAACTGCAGCACACTCACCACACCAAGCCATGACCTTGTGGGTGGGGGGCCATCTTTCAACGGGGCTGTGATGGTGGTTCCTGCTGAGTCTTAAATCATGGAATGCAATGCAGTGAGACTATTCTATGCAATGTGACCATGCAAGGTCGCAATGTGATGCATTGTGCATCCAGCATGGCCTTCACTTGTCAGTACCGGCACTGGTACTAGTGCTGCTGTTTTCATGCTGTCTGGAACTCCTGTGCCAGTGATAACCTTATAACTGTACAGACTAGTGTTTTCACTGCATTGCCTCTGTTACATATTTGCGCAGCACGGCAGTTGCCTCCTGGCTGGTAGACGATGTTAGAACACATGCTGTACACTATCACATGTTGCTGCAGCCCGCATCCTATCATCATGTGTTACTTCAGCACTCACACTGGGGTAACATGTCAGCTGTCATGATTAGTATGGAAAACACTCACACTGCAACTATCGCTAAGCCCTAATGGTCTCTTCAATGTACTGCCTACGCACTTTATACACCGAATGAAATGGTGAACTGGCTATATCTAAAGACTTTGGTTGCTTCTGCCACTGGCCACTTCTCTCTGTGCAAGACGTGAAGTATGTGTGCAGAGCTTGCACATGTATCATTCCATCCACCACACCACCTTCTTTGCCCTTGGCAGCACTCATACCATACCGTCTTTGCCCCAGGCCCCTCTCGCAGCAACAATGAGATATCCCAGCACTCGCAGCAGCGCTGCAGCCACGGCGAGAGCAGCAGCTTCGAGACATCTCACACCCCCCTTCATGCAAACTGTCCAGGTCCGGGACCCCAGGCCCCTCTCGCAGCAACAATGAGATATCCCAGCACTCGCAGCAGCGCTGCAGCCACGGCGAGAGCAGCAGCAGCAGCCTGCCATGACCCCACCACACTCCACTGCATGGCTGATGTGAATGCACACCGCACCGGCAACCACACTCCCATGAACCTGCAGCGAGGGAGGGAGACGGAATGGGAAGGTGGGGGGGAAGATGGGGAACCGTGGACAAGGGCAGGGTGTGATGATACTGGGGGAGCATGGTGGGAAGGGGTGAAAGCAGTTACATTCAGAAAGCAACGCGGAATTTCAAACAAGCTCATCCATCCATCCATCCATCCATCCATCCATCCATCCATCCATCCATCCACCCATTCACTCATAGATCCATCCAAGAGACTTCTGAGTCGACTCAGAAGTCATCTTGTCATCCCACTCACTGGTTGCTGACGGCTCCTGCCAGCAGCCCCTTGACAGCCCACTGCAGGAAGCTGAGCCACTGCAGCCACGCCCTCACTCCCCCACTGCGCGCTGCTGGCACCACCGGCACCAGCGTTGCAAAGTACGCTGCTAGGCACAGCACCAGGGCAGCCTGGGTACGGCGGAAGGGCAGGTAGTGGGGGGGGGGGAGGGGACACGGAGAAGCAGGTAAGGGGAACATGGGGGAGGGCTGTTGGGGCGCCTCTAGAGGCGCTGAAGGAACCACCGACACCAGCGCTGCTATAGTACGCAGCGAGGCACAGCACCAAGGCGGCAGTGGTGCGGGCATGTTGGGAGGGAGGGAACAGAGAGGGTCAGGGGCGAAGCAGGGGTAAGGTCAATGGTGTAGTGCTAGTTACCTGGGGAAAAGAACCTGGGGTAGTGCCTGAACCTGGGGAAGAGAAGAGAACCTTATTGCTAGTTACCTGTTTTGTGCTGAGCTGCAACCAATGCATCTGTGAGCAGGGCGAAACGCTAGGCAAGTTGGGCCACGTGCAACTGACAGCTAGGCAGCGAGCAACAGCTGACAAGGTGGGTGAGGAGAGCAACAGACAAGGCCTACCATTGCTGCTCTGCGGCGGGAGAGGAAGCTGAGAAGAAACGTGTGCAGGCCAGAGGAGCAGAGCACAAGGCAGAGAGCCACCGCCAGCGACGGGCCAAAGGAGGAGAGAATGGCGGAGAAGGGGAAGAAGAGGAGGAGCGGCGGGAGGAGCAGCAGCGGGAGGAGGGCGAGGAGGAGCGTGGAGAGGAGGTCAGCTGCGAGGAAAGGGAGGATGGGCGGGATGTTGAGCGCGGAGGCGATGGGTGCTATGCTGGTGATGGCGAGGAGCGGCGAGGCGAGGGGCACGAGCACCGAGGAGAGCACTGCAGGGGGGGAGGGGGTGGGGGGTGAATGGGGAGAATGATGGGGATGAAGGCGTGAGACTAACCAAGGGGGGAGGGGAACAAGGGGCTTGGGGGCAAAAGGGTATGGGGAATGGCAGAAGCGGGTGAACAAAGAAGACATTAGGGATGGTGTAATTAAGAGGGGTTGGGGCAGCATGCAGCAGGTTAGAGTGTGCTGCGTGCAAGTGACGAGAGAGCACCATACCGAGAACAAGGCAGAGATCTGCCGTGGGTTGGAGGAGGGCGGAGGGAGAGGGGAGCGAGGTGAGCAGCAGCGACCAGAGTGCAGCGAGGGCGAGAGCGGCCGCAAGCGCAAGGAGGAAAGCTGAGAGGATGAAGGGCGTCGCACGGGAGTACTCCCTCACAGCCCTGACGGCCGGGATGGTGGGGATGGTGCGGAGGGGATAGTGGGGATGGTGAGGAGGGGATAGTGGGAGGTTTTGAAGAGAGGAGGACACACATACACAATCACACACACACACACACACACACACACACACACACACACACACACACACACACACACACACACACACACACACACACACACACACACACACACACACACACACACACTCCGTGGCCAGGACCACCCCACACTATGTGAAAAAGGCGCGACGCGATAAAAGTGTTGCTTTCAGACGTCTCAAAAACAACCCGGCCAGGACCGCCCCACACTATGCGAAGAAGGCACATCAAGAATCATCTCACCCACCCCGTCCATCTAACTCACCTGCCCAGCACCGCCCAGAACTGCCGGCCTGCTCCTCTCCTCGTCCGATCCGACAGATCCTTCACCCGCCGCCACGACAGCAGCGCCCTCGCCCTCTCCCTCTGCACCACCGCCTGCCACCGCACCTCCTCCAACCCCTCCCTCACCACCTCCCCCACCACCATCCCCACGCTCTCCAGCACCCCGCGCGGCGCCCCCCATCTCCCCGCTCCTTCCCCCTTCCCCCCTGCGCCCTCCTTCCCGTCCCTGTCTCGCCCTGTTAACTCATTCCCCTTGTTCTCCTTGCCACTGGCATTGTTGTTATTGTTGTTATGGTTGTTGTTGCTATCTAAGAAGAATTCTAAGGGAATGCCACCCAACAGGTTGGTGAGGCCTGTCGCGGAGCGAGAGCGAGTATGCGAGCGTGCACGGGCAGAGCGAGAGGATGCGCGCGACGGGGTGTAAGAGGGTGCCTGCGACGGCGCCTGCGAGGGAGTGCGAGAGATCGTGCGGGAGATTGTGCGAGAGTGAGAGTGTGAGGAGGACCAAGCGCGAGACTGAGTGTGGGAGTAACTGCTCGCCCTACATTCTTCCTCCTCCATACTATCTGCCCTCCCCACACTGCCCATTCCCTCCCCCTCATACCCCCTCCTGCTGCTCCTCCTCTCTCCCCACCTTCACAGCAGCTCCCATCGCGACCATTACCAGGCTCAGACACACCTACTGCCGCTCCCTCCTCCCCCATCTCCCCTTCCTGCTGCTGTTGTTGCTGCAAGGCGTTCTGTCCGCACGACAGCCCATAACATCCCACAGACGCTACCTCATCAGAGCCAGATGACAAATCACATGGCAATTCCCTCACGGTACCCACTCCTCCACCTCCTCCCTCTCTCTCCCTTTCCGCCAACTCTCCCCGCTCACCGCCTTCCATAACTCCCCCTCTTCCTCCCTCCCCCTCCCCTCTCTCCCTCTCCCCTTCTGAGAGCCCCTGCCCCTCCGCTCCTCTCCAGCCTTCCCCCATCTCCACCTCCCCTCCTCCCTCCTCGTCTCTCGCACCCCCCCACTCACTCTCCCCCGCACCTCCCCCACTAGCCCTCTCAAACGACTGGTGAACACTCGACAGCCGCCCTTCACTCTCCCCCCCAAACCCTCCCCCATGTCCCCCCACTCTCGCCCCGCCAAGCCCATTCACCAGCAGCAGCGGCGCACTCTTCAGAGCCCTCTTCCCCCCCACTCCATCCCTCCCTCCGCCTGCCCCCCCTCCTTGCCCAAACCCGCTCCCTGCCCCTGCAACCACCGCAACTGCCACCGTAGCAGCCCCTCTCTGGTCCCTCTCCTTCTCCTCCCTCTCCGCCCAATATGGGTCATCAGACCCTCGTGTGTACACCCCTCCTCTCCCTGCTGACAGCAATCCCGATAAATGCCTCCGCCCCCCGCTGCTCCCGCTGTTCCTCCGCCTTACTCTCCTGCTGCTACTACCGCTCCCCACCCGCCGCCACAAATCCACTGCTCTCCCTCCCGTTCCTCCCCCTCCCCCTCCTCCGAACCCCCTTCTCTCTGTCCGTCCTCCCAGCCTATCCCATGCCGGACTTAAAATGAAACCCCTTCCCCCAACCCCACCACCACCACCACCACCACCACCACCCCCACCACCACGACCACCAGCACCCCCAGCATAACCCCCTCTTCCCAGCTCCCCACGATCTGAATCCTCCTCCTCCTCCTCCCCTCCCATTCCCCCCCCCTCCCTCTCATCATCCTCCTCTCCCTCCCCCTCCCCGTCCCCCATCCCCACCACCACCTCCCCATCCTCTCCCTCTCCCCTCCCCTCCTCCGACCCCCACTCCCCCTCCCCCTCCCCCACCTCCCTCCCCCGCCCCGTCCCGGACCTCTCCTGCCACACCAGCGCCAGGCCAGCCGGCGTGAGGTTCGGCAGAGCGTCGGACTTCTCCGAGCCTCGCAGCACATCCAAATAGTAATCCACAGGGTCGGCCCGGTCCGGAAGCAGGAACCCCAAACCCTCGAAATGGCTCTGAACGTTGTCCACGCACCCGTGAAACGCCGTCGCGCCAGCAGCGGTGAGCAGAATCGCGTCGTGAAACGCCTGGAACGTTTTGAAGCTCGGCCGCGCCGCCGCCACCGCCACCGCCGCCCCTCTAGACGCCTCCTGCAGCAGCACGCGCACGAGCGTGCGCGTGCCCTCCTCACTCAACGCATCAAACGGCTCATCTAGCAGCAAAAGCGACGGCTCTGATACCAACTCAGCAGCTACTAAGACCAGCTGCCTCTGTTCCCCTGTCAACCCCCACCCGGCCACCTGCCACTGCTGCTGCTCCCCCACCCCCCGCACCCCGCCTCTCCCATCCGCCACTAGCAAATCCACCAAATGATCTCCTCCCAGCCCTTCCTCCCTCTCCCTCGCCCTCCCCACTCCTCCCCACTTGGCACCGACAGCAGCAGCAGCCGCTGCCGGCCCTCCGCCTCCCCACCCCCTCCTGCTGCAACCACCGGTATCCCCCATGCCGAACCCCGACCCAAAGAGGGGCAGGGAGGCGGGAGAAGCGGAGGTGGAGGCGGGAGGGGGAGGGGGGCCGAGGAGGCGGTGGCGGCAGGAGTCGAGACCCAGGCCCATGAGCGTTCGCTCTATGATCAGCCGCCTCTCACTCGCTGCCATGCTTGCTGGTAACCTGTGGTATGAGAGGAGGAGCAGGAGCAGGAGCAGGAGCAGGAGGAGGAGCAGAGCAAATGAAGTGATTTTATTATCAGTGAAAGTGATGAGAATAAACGGCAGTTGAGCAGGATCAACGGCTGGCCAGCAAAGCAGCTACTGAGCGGTGAGGTGCGGTGCGGTGCATTGTGGTCAGGCACCAGCACACGTTAGAACATGTGAGAGACGAAGGAGAGAGGGAGTGGGAGACTGGGAGTCACAAACCGCATGTGTGCATGCAGGGAGGGGTGCTTGTCAACTGTGAAGAAAGGGCATGGCAGGGGCGAGCTTTTGAGGGGCCTCAAAAGAGTGAGAGAGTGATAGTGGGAGAGTGAGAGAGTGGGAGAGTGGGAGAGAGGGAGAGTGGGAGAGAGGGAGAGTGGGAGTCACATACTGCATGTGGGCGTGCAGAGAGAGGTACTCGTCGACAGTGAGAAACGGGCCGGGCAGCGGCGAGCCCGCACACACATAGGATCATGTGGGAGAGGACGAAGGAGAAGGAGGTGGAGAAGGAGATAGGGAATGGGAGAGTGGAGGAGTGGGAGTCACATACCGCATGTGGGCGTGCAGCGAGAGGTACTCGTCCACTGTGAGGAAGGCGCAGGGCAGCGGCGAGCCCGCACACACGTAGCCTATGAGCGCACGGTACGACGCCATGGCTGCCGGCGTGCCCTCCACTGCTATGTGCCCGCCCACCACCACGCTGCTCGTTTGCTGGCCTGACAGCACCTGCAGCAGCGCGCTCCTCCCCGCCGTGGGACCCAGCACAGACGTCACTCTCCCTGGGTGCAGCTTCGCATGCAGACACGTCACCGCTAGAGGGGTGGTGCTGGTGGTGGTGGAGGGGTGGCGCAAGGAGGGAGTAGAAGAGGAGGAGGCGGAGGTGGAGGAGGTGGAGGGGAGGGAGCGGGGGTGGGGAGTGGGCAGGGCGGCGGGCATGGCAATGGAGACGTTGACCAGGTCAACACGCAGCATGCGCCTCATTTGACCCTGGCCGCATGGGAACGAACACGCATGGGGAGCAGGGGCGGGAGGGAGAGAGAGAGGGGGGGTGAAAAGGGTGGTGGGTGGGGTAGAGTGATGCCTGAATGGTGGGAGAGGGAGAGTAGGTAGAATGACAGGGAGAAGAAGAGAGGGAGAAGAGAGGGAGTACAGCAGGCGCGAGCGAGCAGTCGTAAAACTGCTCTTTTTACCTGCAGCAGTCCACTGGCGCCACAGCTAACCGCTTCGTTAAAAAGCTCTTCTAGAGACCCCGGCTCCGCGCCTCCCCCCGCGCCCCGCCGCTTCTCCGCCTCCAGCTGCGCGTATGCGCTCTGTAGACACGCCACTCTCCTCCCCCGCTCCTCATTCTCCCCCCCCGCGCTCCCCCCTTTCCACCTGCGCCCCTTCCGCGTCCCAGCGCCATCCCACGCGTCGTCCTCCCCTCCGCTTACCCCCGCGTCCCACCCCACCGCCCGCTTCTCCTCCCCTCCGCCTCCGCTCGTCCCCGCGCCACCCCCTCCCGCTCCGCCTCCGCCAAACCCGCCGATCCCCGCGCCTCTCCTTCCGCCTCCGCCCCCGTACCTTCTTCCCGCGCCCTCCCCCGCCGCTCCGCCGCCGCCGTCGCGGAGGTCGTGCGCGGAGCACCCCATCATGTTGTTCTGAAACTCGACCAGGCGGAGAAATTCGTCCGGGCTGGGCGCGGAAGACGCGGACGCGAACGCCGCCTCTAATCCGGGGAAGCGCAGGCGGAGGCTGTGCGCGCCTAGCCCTCCCCCGTGCGCCCACGACCCCTCCTCCGCCTGCTCTCCGCCCTCCGCCTTGCCCCACTCCGCCCCGCTCGACCCTTCCCCCGCATCTCCGCCTACTCCGCCTTCCGCCCTGTGCGCCTGGATATCCCCCCCACCGGAGGGGAAGGGAACCGCGGGAGGGGCGGAGCCAAGCGCGTGTGGGGGGAAGAGGGCGGGCTGACTAGGGGTGGTCTGGGGGGTGGTGGGGGAGAAAGGTGTTGCGGCGGGGAGCGGGAATGGAGTTACCGCTGCTTCAAGGCCTGACAGATCGGCTGCTGCTGCTGCTGTTGCTGCTGCTGCTGCGGAAGACACAGGGACAGAGACAGCTGCAGGAGCAGATCCGGAAGCAGGCGACACTGCAGGTGCAAACGGGTCCAGTAATAACGAGTCCGTACCACCTGCAGCCCCTGCACCCACGACACCCACGCTCCCATCAGCACCGGGTGCCGCCACAGCAGCGGCCAAGCCTGGGTCTAGGAGGACAGGGTTGGGACTCGTTAGCTGCTCTAACCCCCCTGCTAGCACCTCCCTGCCGACGGCGCTGCTCTCTACCAGCGCAGGCAGTCCGCCCACAGGCGCTGCAGCTCCTGTCTCTCCTCTCATTCCCTCTGCGCTTTCCGTTCTCCCCGCCCCTTCCGCCCCGCATCCTGTCATATCTACTGCCACAGCTTCCCCTCCGCCGTCCCCCAACAACCCCCCCTGCATCCCCACCACCACCGCTCCCCCAACACCCCCCGTCCCCCGCTCTCCTCCCCCCTCCCCGCCGCCCCCCGCGATGCCCACATACGGTCGTTCCCCCTCCTCCGCCCGCTCCCCCTCGTTTGCCTTCCCCGCGCCCGCGTGGCTGGCGCGCGCGGGGAGGGCGGAGTGCGGGGGGTGCGCGCGGTGGACGGGGGGAGTGGAGTGGAGGGAGGCGCAGGGGGGTTGGCATTCCGTGAAGGAGAAGGAGGAGGTGCGCGAAGAGGCGCGCGACTCCAGCAAATCCGGGTGCGACAGCGGCTGGGGGGAGGGGAAAGAGGGGGGCGAGGAGTGAGCGGGAGCGGGAGGGGGAGGGGAAGGAGGTGGAGCGGGAAGGGGGGACGGGGGGAGGTTTAGAGAGTATGGGGGAAGGGGGGGAAGAGTGGGAGGGGAGGAGGACGGCGGAGGGTAGAGAGGATTGAAGTCATGGAAGCGGGGAAGGAAGTGGGGAAGGTGATGGAAGAAAGAGAGGTGACGGGACGAGAGGAGAGGGGAGGAGAGGAGAGGAGAAGAGAGGAGAGGAGAGGAGAGGAGAGGAGAGGAGAAGAGAGGAGAGGAGAGGAGAGGAGAGGAGAGGAGAGGAGAGGGGACAGGAGAACGGCATAGAGTGAAGACTGCACAAGGCAGAGATAGTCAGAGAAAGGGCAGAGCAGAGCAGATCAGAGCGGAGCGGAGCGGAGCACTCACCACGAACGCATGGTGAACGCGGCACCCCAGGAACGCAAGCTTCGCCCCACACACCCTCCTCACAGGCGCTCCAACCAGCGCCACCACCCGCCTCCACCACACTGCACCCACTCCCACCGCACCAGAACCAACTCCCCCCTCGCCACCAGCAGAGTCGCCGCAAACCCTCGCCTCCCCTCCTGCTCCCATTCTCCCTCCGCCCCTCCCCTCTCCCCACCGTTTCCCCCCCCAGCGGTTGGGCCCCGCGCCCCCCATGCCCCTGCCCGCCATCCCCCTGCCGTGGAGGCGGGGGGAGGGCAGCAGGCGGTGGGGGGAGCGCGCTTCCGCCGCTGCTCTGCGCGCCCGCTCAAGGGGGCGCACGGAGAGGAGGAAGCATGGGGGGAGGAGAAGCGCCAACACCAAGGTCAAGATCTGGGGGGGAGAGAGACGAGGGAGAAAGGGGCAGAGAGCGGGGCAGCATTGGGAAGAGTGGAAATAAGGGGGAAGTGGAAACTGAGGTGGGGAACATGAGGGGTAAGTGGGGTTAAGGGGACGAGGAGGGAACAGGTGGGGGAGTGGTAAGTAGAAGGATGGATGGAAGAGGGATGACGTGGGTATGGTGGCGGTGGAGCATGACGGCATGGCATGGCATGGCTTGATGGCATGGCTTGATGGCATGATGGCATGGCATGATGGCATGGCATGGAATGGCACAAGGCGCTCTTACAGTGAGACAGAGGGCGAGGACGAACTGATCCGGGGACTGCATCTGACTGCCCATGGTGACGCCTGGTGGGGCGCAGAGCGGTGCAGAGAGATGGGAAACAATCAGGCGAGAGAATCGCAGAACAAGACCACAAGAGAAAGTAGCGCAAGGACCGCTTGAGTGAGAAAGAGAGAGATACACGAACACGAGCAAGGGAGCAGTGGGATTCGAGCAACGGAAAAAGAGAGAGAAACACACAAGCGGCAGACAAAGCGTAGCAGCGGGAAAGAGGCAAGAAGAGGGGGAAAGGCATGTGGGAAGCAAGGGAAAGGTGCGGCGACAAGCAAAGGAGGCGGGGAATGGAAAGAGGGCTGCAGTTTGGAAGGACGAGGCAGGAGAGAGGGCACTCACGGGTTGGGGCAACGGAACCAGCTGGACAGATGTGCCTGGTGCATGCCACGTGTCACATGCCCCACGCAACACCACATGCAACGTGCCACGTGTATGGTGAGGTGGCGCACAGAGGAGGGGGAGGAAGGAAAGGGGTTGGTTGGGAGGGAATTCAGCAGCAGGAGGAGTGGGGACCAGAGTATCAGAATGGTTTCTGAAAATTCCAGATTGATTAACTTGGAGGTAGGGAGCAAGTCGGGACGATACGAGGAGGGTTGCAGCAGAGAAAACGTGGTGCAGGTTGGAAGGGGGAGGAGGGGGGGAGGGGGAGGCGGAAGAGGGGGAAAAAAGGGGGCGGAAGTGGGGAGGGACAGGGGCGTGTGCGCACATGCACTTAAACCACCCACCTGCATGATCTACATGCACTTGAACCATCCATTCATCGCGGCAAGGCATGACACTCACCTGGGCGGGCACGGCTTGAGAGTGGCGGCATCAGGGCAGAAGTACCCCTCGGGGCACGCCAGCACAGGCAGCCAGGATGAGTAGGACGGCGCAGCAGCCGCTGCAGCAGCAGCAGAAGCAGCAGCAGACGAAGAAACAGCAGATGAGGTAGCAGAGGACGCGGAAGAGAGAGAGGGCCCGGAGGAAGGCGAGAAGGGGAGGGAGGAGCCGTTGTAGGCGCGCAAGGGGGGGGTGCCCCCCACGGGGTGCGCGGGCACTGCGCCCCACTGGTCCGCTCCCCCGCACTGCGGGCGGCTCATGCGCGTGGTGGAGCGCAGCACGGGCGGGTAGGAGTACCTGGGGGAGGGGGGGGGGAAGCGCAGGGAGAGAGGGACGGGACGAGTGGGAGGGAAGGGATACGAGCGTGGGTGGGAAGAAGCAGGAGCTGCTGTTGGTCGGAGGGAGGGTTAACGCAAGCCACGCCGCATGCCGATTGGAAGAGATGCAGCAACGAAAAAGAAGAAGGGAAAGCAAAAATCAGCAAAGGAGAAAGGAGAAGCAAACAATTGAGAAGGAATGGTTCATGGCAGAGCAGAGCAGAGCAGAGCAGAGCAGAGCAGAGCAGAGCAGAGCAGAGCAGAGCAGAGCAGAGCAGAGCACAGCACAGCACAGCAGAGCAGAGCAGAGCAGAGCAGAGCAGAGCAGAGCAGAGCAGAGCAGAGCAGAGCAGAGCAGAGCAGAGCAGAGCAGAGCAGAGCAGGAGCCTCACGGGGTGCAGGAGAAGCCTCGAGGCGTCACTGGCGACGGGCAGAACGACCCCGCGGGGCATGCTGGGCGCGCGGAGCGCAGGGGATGCGGAAGGTCGGGTGAGAGGAGGATGGGGGCAGGGCAGGGGAGCAAAGCGGGTGGAAGACGTGGAAGAAATAAGACTCAAGGGAGAAATCAACGGCAATGTTCCGATTCTGAGAGGCATTTGTGAGACATTTGAGCCAACTGCGATCTGCATGGGCGAACAACGGGGCTCAGCCAAGCTCTTACGTATCATGCACGCAAGCCCCGCGGGGCAGAAGAACCCCGCGCAGCAGGCGGACGGCGGGTCCTCGCGCGGAGGCCCTGGCGGAAGCTCGCGGCGAGCGAGTGCGACGGACCCGGACTCGTACGCGAAGATCCACGCCAGGGGGGAAGAGAACGACCCCGCGGAGGCGGAAGGGGGGACCGCGGGGAAGGCGGAGCGTTTGGATTTAGCGGAGGGGGAAGCGAATGTGGTGTTAAGAGTAGGTGCGGTGATGGGGCTAGCGAAGCCTGGGAGGCATCCTAGCAGCGGCGAGGAGCTATTGCAGTTGACGGGGTCTAACAGGCTATCCTCGGTTCTCCCGCTCCAGATCCCGCCATCATCCCTCGTCCCTCCGCTGCCGCTGCCGCTGCTGCCGCTGCTGCTGCTGCTGCTGCTGGTAACTTGCTGCGAGGGGTCTGTCCCGCCTGTCTGCGCGTTGAGTGATCGCACGAACGCCGCGAGTTCCCCTGACGAGCATACGCGGCGGCGCAAGTCGCCTGGCGGAACCGCGGGAGCGGGAGGGGGTGGGAGACGGGGGAGCGGCGGGAGAGGAGTGGCGGGGCGTTGGGATGAATTTAGAGAGGGGGGAAGTTGGCGCGCGAGCATGCGGGATCAACGTGGAAAGTGAAGGGAGAAGGGGAGGGCCGGGGTTGGTTGGGAAGGAAGTGGTAACACGGGAGAGGCAAAACCGCCATGCCTGCAGCTCACCTTTCTTTTCGCACGCCGCCACCGTCGCGGCGGAATCTGCGGTGCGCACGGGGAAGGTGCGCTGCGCCTCCGCCGACCTGCAACGGACGGATCGTGGGCAAGGAGCGCAAGCAGCGGAGACGCCGATGGAAAGGGAGGGCGGAAGGCCGGGGCGGGGAGGAGTGGGGAGGTGGAGGGGAAGAGACGGGGCGGGAAGGTAGGGCGAGGGAAAGGGGAGGGGGGAAGTGTGTGGGGGGGAAAGGAGAGGGGGAAAGATGCAGAAAATTTTCAACGAATCCTTTCTCATAGGTGCATGCAAATAAGCTCTAAAAAGGCACGGTGCGTGCCGTCAACATACCACAATAGAATATAAAAGAGGAAGGAGCTTTCCGTTTACTATCAAGGCCAGAGTCTACTAGAGTACCAGGGCTGGCAGCTACATCGACAAGAACGAGACAGGAGTCGAAAAGCATCAGCGAGGGAGGGGGAGGGAGGTGGGCGGATATCTTTCCTTTGCAGCAATTGGCTGAAAATTCATGGGGAGGCGGGGGTGAGGAAGGGAGGGGATGGAGAGATGGGGAACGGGAGGGGCATCGAGTCCAAAAGAGCGGTGCATACGGGTCGGCGATGCATCCCGGATGGCCGTCAGCAAGGGCCTCCACTAATCGCAATCCCAGAAGCTCTAGGGCGTCCGCTGCTAGTATCTGCTCCGCCGCTCCCGCTGCCGGTGCTGCTGCTGCTGCTGGTGCCGACGCTACCGCAGCTGCTGACGGCGCCGGCCGTGCCACTGTCGCTGCTTCCGCCAGGCCTAGACGCGGCAAGGCTCTGGCGCTTATTCCGGCTCCTAATGGTTCCCATGAGCTCGGGCTGGTAAATTGTGGGAGCGACGACGAGAGGAGGGCGAGGAGGAGGGTGTACGGGAGTAACGACGCGCTTGGAGTACGAACTTGGCGAAATGCCATGGCGAAATCGAGCGAAATTTAGCGGGAGGTCGGAGCGGTAGGTGGCGATATCACTCCGGCCATCGCGGTTGAAAACGCAGAGGACGAGAGGGAAGAAGCTTCTGAATGAGTACGGGCTATCTAAGCGTTTGAGTTTTGCTCACACTGCCAAATACTTTCGTCAAAAGCACAAGACGAGATAAGATCTCTAAAACACCGTCGGGCTGGCCAAAGAGCGATAAAAGCCCAACCGCTCTCATGCAAACCGTCTTCCTAAAGCTGACTGGCGCCACTAACGATACCGCTGGCGCTCGATGGTTAGAAAGTGTTACAGATCCCGGAAGCGTATGAAGGAAAACATGGAAGAAAGCTTGTGTAGAATAGACGGCTACCACTGCTCGATTTGCGTTATCCTATGGACGGATTGACGGAACGAGGCGAAGACGGAATCTGCGGAACACCTGAAGCTAATCCAAGGGCTGGTCAGGCAGCCGGACCAGGAGTGAAAATTCTCTAGTACACCAAGATGATCCTAAGGGAGATCGAGCTCACCGAGCTAGGCCAAGGGGATTCTGCAAGTGAGTGCTCTTGTTGGGTCTGTTCCCTGAACACTCTCGAAAACAACCTAGTGCCTTGCCTCCGACACACTGGATGGTGGAGGCCGAAAGGGGCTGGATGGTGCAGGGGGCGTTGGGTCATATGTGGTCTTTGGATGGGTTGGGTCTGGTTGGGTAAGGGAAGAAGAGGCGAGTGGGTAGGAAGAGGGGGTGCAACTTTGAGTATGACCAGACCAGGCTAGACTTGAGTATCTGGGTCAGAGAAAGGTCCCGCCCTGAGCATCTGGCTGAATTGTTTTGCAGGCATGAGCTCCACCAGGCGACAGAACAGGAAGAACCAAGCGAACTGCTGCAATTCGCGGTCGGAAAAGAGTCTGTATATCGAGCCCTTGACTGGTGTCGAGCTGCCCCTACTCGTCATTGTCACATCAACAAATCGAGTTACCATCATGGACGGTAGAAACGTCATTAGGTTGAAAGAGGGACGGTCCCGATGTGAGATCGACCTCACCTGACCGCGCAACTGAAGGCTCCTGACACTAAGCCGTGACGCCTTTGACAGAAATTGGGTACTCGCGCCGCGTCGTGGAGAGGCCACCAGACGAATGCAACACATCAATTTCAGACACGTTCTTTTATCGAGCCCCGCAGCCATTTCTATTGTCAGAGCCGACATGGTTTTGTCTAGAAAACAGCTCCCTACAGTAAAATTTGTGTCTTTTTTTCCTGCGTTCATCTATTTCGCTATGCCTCATCACATGGAGCACATGGCGGATTTTAACGCTTTTCACATTTCAGAGGAAATTATATGAGTTAAACTGATGCATATAGAATATTGATACCGCTATCAATGTTTACTATGTAGAAAAGGGATAATATAAGTGGTATTCTTACATGTGAAACAGAAACCTTATACTTTTCTCTCCCTAGCTAGTTGCAGATTATAGTGCGCTTTCACAGACAAAATTATAACTTGACTGAGATACACAGAAATGGAGAACTTGTGTCACGGATTCTCAGGATCCTCGTCCAGCGTGGCTTTCCTATCCAGGGGGTTGCCCCATCGGCATCGGTCAGGTGCTTCCCGCCAAATCTCCACGTCATGCGATGTCGTCAGACAAAGGCTTTCCACCGGATCCCGACTTGTTGACTGTCAGCTTCGGGAACAGCATCCATCAGCATCCCATCCAGCTCACTCTCAAATGATCAGGATTCAGGAATCTCGGTCTCCCAACCAGCCTGCTTGAAATTCACACTTCTAGGCCACATTTCCACCAGGCTTGATCCAATTTCAAACGTATCTGCTTTCCCAGCTCTCCTAAGGCCGTTGCTGCTTCGTTGTTGTGCCTGTCACTGAAAATGGCCGCCGTGGCGTCGTCATCTGCGTGCGTGGCCACTAAGGTCGTTGCCTCGTCCAGGCTGCAGACTCTCAGTTCCTTCAACGCGACTGCTAGCACTTACGGTCTCGTGCCTTCCACCACACGCTCCCTTAAGGCAGTTGGCCGTCGTGCCGTGCAACCGGTTGCTGCGCTGAAGTGGGTTCTGGAGCCCATTGGTACGTTCCTTAACATCGTGTCCTTTTATTTCCTGAGCAAGGTTGCTCATTGTATTATCCCAGCGAGTCATGCGCTCCTGAGGACGGAATACCTTCCAATAGTTTTTGTGCGTTTTGTTTTTTTGTTCAACTCTCCTGCACCACAGGCGATGGGGACACTGCCCACCTTGAACAGGAGATTGCGAAGCCTGGACCCATTGATGTTGCCGGAGTAAGTCTAGTATATATGAAAGTCCTTGAATGCATGACCAGTACCTGTTTCTGCTGTCTCTAACACCTGACTCGCCGTTGTTCCTGACAGGATGCTGTGGTGATCGGTCGGATGGCCGAGCGAGCGGATGTCGTCATTCCTGTTCCCACAGGTAGAGCACTGTCACTTTATCCATCGGTGCCTCCAACGATGTGCTTTCGTCTGTTTCCACTGTTTCTATGCGGTTAAGACCAAAGCATTGTTGAATGGCACATGTCAAACATTTTGGTTGCGGGTGCTTTGCGTGCGTTATCTGTCGCCTCAGTGTCTGGCGTTCATGCACGCCTGGAGAACCGCGGGGACGTCCTTGTGGTCACGGACCTCGACAGCACCAACGGAACGTTCGTTGACAATGCGCCTTTGAAGCCCGGAAACTCCGCGTCCTTGGCAGTCGGAAGCGTCGTTATCTTTGGTAAGATGTCAGCTCGTGTCTTTGTTTCGTGTGCTCGTACTCTGTTACCGGATGCTTCTGACGCGCGGGGGCGTGACGCATTTTTTCCATGTGCTTCCTGACATTCCCCTTGCCTGTGCCAGGCGACCAGCACCTCGCGCAGTTCAAGGTCACACAAGTGGATGTCCCTGAGCCAGAGGCTGCAGCTTAAATACATCCAGGCCGTTATATACAGAGTATCACGTGAGGCAATGCGGACGGTCAGCTTCTCGTGTAGTCTATTCCAGCATACGAAAAGTAAATGCTGATGCCTTGTTTTTGGTCAATGTAAAGAGACGCGGTTTGTCTGCGTTTTGATATCCCACCTTACTTTCGCTCTCGATGCCAAAATCGGAAGTCAAGAAGTTGACCGCATTAGCCCGTCTCGGCGACGATTGGTTTCTCGCGGAGGTAAGGCCACACACTTCCAAGGTGCCGGACCAACGCAATCCTCTCAAACCCACTTACCTGTCCCTCTACCAAGGCGCTCTGTCTAACCCTCTCTCTGTTTTCCTAACTCAGTTCCTCACGTTCTCTTCCTTTCCCCCTCGCCTCGCCGTGTTCCTCTCTCCGTTTTTGGATATTCGCCTCTGTACGCCCCCCCTCTACCCCTTCGCTATTCCTGTCGTATCTCTGTCCCCATCTCTCTATTCTTTCCGTTCTTCAATACTCATCCTCGTCTGCCTTTTCGGTCTTCTTAACTCTTTATCCTCTTCGGTCTTCTCAACGCACTATCCTACTATCCTTTTCGGTCTCCTCAACTCTCTATCCTCGCCGGTCTTCTCATCCCTGTATCCCCTTCGCTCGTCTCTATTTCCTTCGCTCATCAACTCTTGATCCACTTCGCTCGTCAACTCTCTATGCCCTTCGCTTATCAACCCTCTATCCCCTTCCCTCGTCAACTCTCTATCCCCTTCGCTCTTCGTATCTCTTTTCCGACCGCTATCCATCCCTCTATCGCTAGATCTATCCCGCTCGCCAACCCTTTCTCTATCCCATCTGTCACCCCTCTAACCATCCATCGCTCATGCCCATCCTCATGCGTCTCGACCCCAAGCTTGTCCCTATCTACAATTCCTCCCACCCCCTCCTCCTCATGTTCACCTTTCAAATACGCATGCCCGCCCAACCCAAACGCTGGACATCATTTGAGGCTTGCATGTGCAAGCGCAGACATACATCGAGCCGATTAGTGTTCAGAAGTCAAAGATCAGTTTTATTACTGCCGCCAAGGAGCTATTGTGACCGTTGAGTTCAGTTCTTGTGAGCCTGTCCAATCCATCATCACAAATTCTGGAGAGGAAACGCCAAATCTGAACAACATCACGAAATTCTGCTGTTCGGTCGGATTCGTCGCCGACCTTGACCTTACGGCTGCTGTACGGCAGCTTGTGACGAAAGGTCATACGACATTGGCGAAGACTCGTAATATATCAAGCTCCTTCACATTTTTTAATAAAAGAATGTACCGGTATCAGTGTGGCAAACAATGCACGGTAAACATCAATCTGAACTGCCCTTATGGAGACACAGCAGTCTACTGAGCCTCTTTTCACTTGCTACTTACCATATCACCATCGATTGCAGCTAGGGTACCTCAACAATTACCTCATTTGTCAGCAAAAGGAAGTACACCTTTTCTTTTTCACTTAATGAAGGGTAGGTCCCCTCCTACCGTACCTGTAGCTAGAATCCATCTCTTCTATTTCCAGCTGTAACATTCTAGCAACGAGGCACTTTTTGCAAAACCCACACCACAACCACAACCATGCCATTCGTAGCATCAGCTTCTATAGTTTAGCCTACTAGGTACACAGGGTGGTCAGAGTAGTGCTGCAGCCGCATCAATCAGGTCTTGTTTCTCCAACAGCCCACGCACCTCCCCTCCTTTCCCTGTAATGAACCTCTTAAGCTCCCCCACTGACATCTTTTCCAGGTCGGCTCGACTCGTGGGGTTGGGTGCGGGCGGAGGGGGCGGCGTGTCACTCTCAGTGCTGCTAGATGCGCCTGCTGGTTGGGAAGGCTCACCGGACCAACTCTGCAGGACAGAAAGGGATGGAAGGAGGGAGGAATGTGAAGTGAAGACAAGGAGGGAAGTGAGATGCAAGGGGGGAGGGGCAAAGGAGAAACAAGTAGCAGACAAGGTGGCCAGGCAAAAACAATTAGAGAGGGAAGAAAGGGGGGGTGACAGGGAGAAGGGGTTGTGGGTCTGGAGAACAAAGAGTGCAGTGCGGTGCAGAGAGGTCCAGAGACCTCGGCGTGGCGGTGTGAGGCTGATCGTGAGCTGGAGCCAATTCTGGTAGCCTGAGCAGCACTGCGTGACTTGGCCTTCAGTTGCACTGCCTTTTTCTGCGGACCCACATGCATGCACATGCACACACAAGCACACACATGCACACGCATGCACACACAAGCACACACATGCACACGCATGCACACACATGTGCACGCATGTGCACGCATGTGCACACAGACAGCCTCAAGCACACCCAGCTCGTAGTTTCGCACATAACAAAGCACAAGAACCCATTGGATTGAGAGCATGAGCATGGCAAAAACAGATGAACTAAATAACTCCACAGCCAAACACCCAATCAGCCAGCCGCGCTCACCCAGTCAACCTGCCCCTCTCACTCACCCAGTCAGCCTGCCCCACTCACATAAAAGACTTGGCCCAGCTTCTTGAGAGCCCTGGCCCTCAGCTCTTGCTTGGACTTCTTCTCCCCCGGCTCCACTAGCACCTGGCAGGTCGCGCACAGGCACAGCACAGTGTGGAGAAATCTGTTCTTTTTAAGAATTCTCAAAAGAACAGGCGGAATGTGGAAAACACTTTTAGACGTCTCAAAAGTCGACTAGCGGGCCGGAGACAGGGGGAATGTGGGAATGCGACAGTGAGGTTGGCGTGCGGAGCGTGAAGTCATAGCTGAGCTAAGGTGCCTGTGCCAGAGTCAGGGGAGGAGGAGGGAAGGGGGTGACTCTTGAATCGACTCAAAGGGCAACGCAGACCGTGAAATTATTGCCAAGCCAAGGTACTGACACCAGAGTTTGTGGAGGTTGAAGGAAGAACGAGGGGGGAGAAGGAGGAGGGGGTGGCGAGGCGTGGGGGAGGGAGGGGGCCAAGGCAGGGCACACGGAGGAATATGTGACGTGAGCTTGCCCAGCTGCCACGCCTCTTTGTAAGTCCCAGACCCCCATCTGCTGCCACCCCACCTGCTGTCATCCCCCTTCCCCCTTTCCCAAACCTGAATGACACACACCCCCCCCCACCACTCCCCCACCACACCTGCTGGCAGACAGCGGAGAGCGTGCCTTCAATGTCAATGACGTTGAGCTTCCACAGCGACTCCAGCAGCGACATTTAGCACTCAACCATTCCCCCCTTTTTCCCCCCACCTCACCTGCTGCCCACTCCCCTCACCTGCTGGCACACGGCGGAGAGAGTGCCTTCGATGTCAATGACATTGAGCTTCCACAGCGACTCCAGCAGCGACTGCTGGCGGCTCTCCAGGAACGCCGCCATGGCCTCCTCGTCCATCTGCTCCTCCTCCACCTTGCGCCGCATGTCCTGGTGCGCCTGGTACAGCTGCAGCACGCCTGTCGTTATAGCAAAGGGAGGTGGAGGGACAGGGGAGAAAGTTGTGGAACTGGAGGAAAGGCGGGGGCCGCTCCACCTTGCGCCGCATGTCCTGGTGCGCCTGGTACAGCTGCAGCACGCCTGAGAATAACAATAGAGGGAATTTGCAGGAAAGAGGGGGATGGAAGGGGGGGAAAGCGGGTGGGGGGGCCAGGTAGGGGAGAAGGAGAGAAGAGGAGGTTGAGTGATGGCGGAAGGGAGAGTGATGATGCCTTGAGCTCAAGAACACCCTGTGTTGTGCTGTGTGATGTGCCTATGACCAGCCGGCCGCCATGGCCTCCTTGTCCATCTGCTCCTCCTCCACCTTGCGCCGCATGTCCTGGTGCGCCTGGTACAGCTGCAGCACGCCTGTTGTAGAGGAAGCAGAGGGAGGTGGAGGGACCGGGGAGGAAGTTGGGGGTGAATGGGGTTGGGGGTCCGGGGGGGGGGTTGGGGGGGGGGGGGGCTCCACCTTGCGCCGCATGTCCTGGTGCGCCTGGTACAGCTGCAGTGCGCCTGTGATTATGGTAGCAGAGGGAGGTGGAGGGACCGCGGAGGAAGTTGGGGGTGAATGGGGTTGGGGTCTGAGGAAGGGGGGGCTCCATCTTGCGCTGCATGCCCTGGTGCGCCTGGTACAGCTGCAGCACGCCTGTCATTGCAGTAGTGGGGATGGGTGGAGGGGCGGAAAGGGGAACTCGACTCACCAACAGCAGCGGAGACCTGAGTGGAGAACCGGTGCCCGCGCTCTCTGAACCACTTACTGCAGCTCCTCAGACCAATGGAAATTACCGTGGCAATGCCGTTTTCCTTTGATTCACCAGACAGACCTAACAAAGGCTCAATCAACTCACCAACGGCAGCGTGATAAAAGTTATGTTTTGAGACGTCAGAAAAGGCCTAAGAAAGGCTCACACAACTCACCGACGGCAGCGGAGACCTGAGTGGAGAAGCGGTGGCCGCGCTCTCATAGAACCCTTTTTGGCACCCTCGCTCCAAGGGATCTCCTCACCTCAGTACCCTTGATTAACCAGACCAGACGAAACAAAGAGGACTCGACTCACCGACGGCAGCGGAGACCTGGGTGGAGAAGCGGTGGCCGCGCTCTCGGAACCACTCGCCCACGAAGGGCACGCCCAGCAGCAGAGGGTTCTTGCCCAGCTGCTTCGCTGCCGACCGCTGGTAGATGTACCCTATGCTATGCAACATGTGCTCTCCGAACGCTGGGAATGGTGGGGGAGAAAGAGAGGGAGATGAGATGATTGCTAATGGGGAGGGATGGCCGGTAGAAATGGCGCTGCTTTGCTGCCGACCGCTGGTAGATGTACCCTATGCTATGCAACATGTGCTCCCCGAACGCTGGGGGGGGTGGGGAATGCGTTGGAGGGAGGACGCGAGGGAGTGGGAAGCAAGTGTTCGTAATAGGCCTTGACCTGATCCCGTGCATTCACTCAACAGAACACCCCGCGTGTGCTCTGCATCCTCGAGGACCATACATCAACCACGCATGCATGCACCCATACATGCATGCACCCATGCACGCATGCACCCATACATGCATGCACCCATACATGCATGCACCCATGCATGCATGCACCCATACATGCATGCACCCATGCACGCATGCACCCATGCATGCATGCACCCATGCATGCATGCACCCATGCATGCACCAATGAAGACAATCAGACCTGGATGATCCACCCACCCACCCACATGCACACACCCACACCCACACCCCCCCCCCCCCCCAACACACCCACACCCACACCCACACCCACACCCACACCCACACCCACACCCACACCCACGCCCACGCCCACGCCCACGCCCACGCCCACACCCCCACACCCACACACCCACGGCCATGGCGCACCAGTCTGAGACAAGCGCTCAGCCTCCTCCTCCGCCCACTGCACAAACTCCTCCTTGCCGCTGGCCAACTTTTGAGACACCTCAAAAGCCCAGCTCTCGCCCACGCACAACCCCAACCCACCCTCGCCCTCGCACAACCCCAACCCCAACCCCAACCCCAACCCATGAGCGTGCGTGACTCACCAGTCTGAGACAAGCGCTCAGCCTCCTCCTCCGCCCACTGCACAAACTCGTCCTTGCCGCTCGCAGTGTACAGGTGCAGCCTCGTCTTGAGCTTCTCCACCAGCTCGCCTATACGCTGGTCCTGCGCTGCCTGCTCTCGCCCAGCAGTGACACGACGGGAGGGGGGGAGGGCGGGAGGGAGGGTGTTTTGAGACGTCTCAAAGCATGCAGCCTCGCCTTGAGCTTCTCCACCAGCTCGCCTATACGCTGGTCCTGCGCCGCCTGCTCTCGCGCACCCAGCCATGCACCCATGCACGGACGAACGGATGGATAAATGGACGGAAGGAGGGAGCACGAGGGAGGGAGGGACGGAGGGACGGAGGGACGGAGGGACGGAGGGAGGGAGGGAGGGATGGAGGGAGGGATGGAGGGAGGGAGGGACGGAGGGACGGAGGGACGGAGGGAGGGAGGGAGGGATGGAGGGAGGGACGGAGGGACGGACGGAGGGACGGAGGGAGGGACGGAGGGAGGGATGGAGGAAGGGATGGAGGGAGGGATGGAGGGAGGGATGGAGGGAGGGATGGAGGGAGGGACGGAGGGAGGGACGGAGGGAGGGATGGAGGGACGGAGGTTGGGAAAGGGGGAGTCGGGCAAGGGTGGAGGGAGGGAGGGTCGGAGAGATAGTAAGTAGAGGGATTAGTGATAGAGAGATTAAGGACCAAAAGCCAAGACGAAAACAGGCATACTGTGCGACATCATATGCTCTACACAAACCACAACAGCTTGCCCAGAGGCCCTCTGCCGCCGCTGCCCTCACCCTCACCCTCACCCCCATCCCCGCCCCCGCCCCTGCCCCCACGCCCGCCCCCATCCCCAGCCCCGGCCCCAGCCTCCAGTCTCCAACACTTGGCTCTCATGTAACTCTCATGTAACTTTCAAATCAATACGACTCTTGAGACGTCCCCAAAACCCACGCCCATCGCCATCCCCAGCCCCGCCCCTGTCCTCCCGCCCACGCCCACTCCCATTCCCGCCCCCGCTCCCAGCCTCCAGTCTCCGACACTTGGTTCCCATGTAACTCTCGACGCAATACTCCTATCCAGCACCATGCCACGTGTCAGCCCTGGCATGGCAGCAGCAGCTTCATCCACGCAGCATCAGACAGCAAGCCTTTGTGCCTCAGAATTCGTGGCAGCAAGCAACCTCATGCAGCAGCAGCACCAGCAGCAGCAGCGGCGGCGGCGGCGGCGGCGGCAGCAGCAGCGGTGGCGGCGGTGGCGGCAGCAGCCTAACGTGCTTAGAGCATGATCACTCCAAACAGCTACCTGTCTGTCTCTCTCATCCCCACCACCATCCTCCCCCAGTCCTCCCTACCCCAGTTTCACTCTCCCCTGCTGACCAGCACCAGTCAAACCAACACTAGCGGATCCCTGTAAAATCATCCCTACATTGTTCTCCTCTCAATCTCTCATCTTCCTCATTCTACACCCCTCCTCTGCTGCGCTTTCCCTCTTGCCCTTATCCCTTCTTCACCTCTTCCCCTCATCCAATCTTCCTCTCTTCCCCCTTCCCCCACCTCCTCCCTCTTCCTCCCCCGGCCACCTATCAAGTCTCCTCTCCTCACCCCCTTCCGCGCTCCCCTTTTCCCCGCCCTTTCCCCGCCCTTTCCCCGCCCTTTCCCCGCCCTTTCCCCAGGCCCCAACCTTGAGTTTCGCCTGCAGTATCAATCCCCCCCCCTTCGCCGTTTCGGATACGTCTTAGAAATCCCTCCCCCACCCTCCCCTTCCCCTGTCCCCCCTCCCCTTCCCCATCTCCCACTCCCTCCCCCCAGGCCCCAACCTTGAGTTTCGCTTGCAGCTCCACAGTATCCACCCCCCGTCCACTGTTAGAGTCCTTCACTCCCCTAAACTCGAAATGAACCCTTCACTCCCCACTCACTCCCCACTCACTCCCCACTCCCTCCCCACTCCCTCCCCCCAGGCCCCAACCTTGAGTTTCGCTTGCAGCTCCACAGTATCCACCCCCCGTCCGGCCCCCCGCTCCGCCATTCGCCATGTCCGCTGCGCCACTGCTGCTGGCGCCACCATCCGCACCACCACCAGCGGAGGCGGAGGCGGAGGAGGGGGTGGGCGCGTCAGCAGCGAGCCCAGCGACGGTGGCCATGGCGAGCTGCCCCACGTAGTCCTCAAAGGCCTCGCTGCCAAACAGCATTCCGAACATGGCGGCTGGATCCACCATCGCCTCGCTGTAAGGGGGGAGGAGGAGGCGCAGGAGGGCAAGGGGAGGGTGAGTGCATGGCGGAAGAGAGGTGGGGAGGGGAGGGGGGAAGAGGGGGGGGGAGGAGAGGGGAGGGGGAAGGAGGGGGGAGCCGGAAGGGAGGGAGGAGGAGGGAGAGAGGGGGGAGGAGAGGGAGATGCAGAGGGCGCATGAAGGAGGAGCGGGTGGGCGCGTCAGCAGCGAGCCCAGCGACGGTGGCCATGGCGAGCTGCCCGTCATAGTCCTCGAAGGCCTCGCTGCCAAACAGCATTTCGAACATGGCGGCTGGATCCACCATCGCCTCGCTGTGGGGTGGGAGGGGGAAGGAGGACGGGGGGGGAGGGAGGGTGGGGCGAGTCTGAGGCATCTAACACACCAAGGCCTCGCTGCCGAACATGGCGGCTGGATCCACCATCGCCTCGCTGGGGGGAAGGGAGGAGAGGGAGAGGGGAGGGGTGAAGGCAGGAAAGAAGGGGATGGGATGGGCGGGGAGCGGAGAGGATGGGAGGGGATGGGATGGGATGGGATGGGATGGGATGGGATGGGATGGGAGGGGATGGGAGGGGATAGGGTGCCGAAAATTAGCCAGATGCCAACGCAAGCAGGATAAGGTGCGCGTTAGTTGCGCGAAATTCGGGGAAGGACGCGCGGAAGGGGGGGGGGGACGTTGAGGAGTGTGGGAGGAAGAGAGGGAGTTGGGATGGTTGTAAGTCTGTGCGAAGTCAAGGGGGCGGGGTGCGTGGTCAGTGGAATTGGGACGGAACGGAAAGCGAGGAAAAAAAGGAAACGGAGAGGCGATTACGAGCGGGCGAGAGAGAAGTGAATCCCTGCCTTACTCACACACTCACTCACCCACTCCCTCGCTCATTCACCCACCCACCCACTCACTAACTCACTGCCTCACTGCCTCACTCACTACTACCTCACTAACTGACACGCAGTGCACGCCGCCCTACAACTCCCCACCAACCAACCAACCCACTCAGCCACGCACCCACCCACTCGCTCCTGCACGGCCCTACGTTCTTCTCCCACTCTCTTCCCTCACCTCCACCAAACTCCCCACCCATCGCTCGCCTCGCCCCACCCATTCCCCCAACTTCTCCCCCGCCATCTCTCTTCCCCCGCAACCATCCCCCGGATTTGCCCAACCCGTCCCCCTACCCCTTTCCCCTTCCCCCTCCCCCCTTCCTCCATCTCCCTCCCTCGCCCCTCCCCCTCGCCCGCGCGACTCACGTGGACACGCCCGCCTTGCCGCACGCGTCATACCGCTCGCGCTGCCCCGGATCGCTCAGCACCTGGTACGCCTCCCCCAGTAGCTGCCGCCGTTGCGCGAACCATCGGGGGGTTGGCGGGGATTGCGGAAATTGCGGGGGTAGCGGGGGTTGCGGGGGTCGCGGGGACGTAAGGGGATGCGTTGATTGGGTATGAGCGTGCATGCTGGCGGTAGGCATTGCGTGCGGGGCGTTGAGTTGAGCAGACGAGGAAGAGGGCGCAAAAGGGCGGCGGTCGACGCGAAGGAAATAAGGTAGAAAGGGGAAAAAACCGAAGCAGCGGGAATTGCGGATAAGGGAGCTGATCGAGAAACGAGGAGAAAGCACAGAGCGACGAGGGCGCGCAGAGAGACCTCGGGGCGAGGAGGAAGGTGGGGGGATGGGAGAGAGAGGGGGGGAAGGGAGGGGGAGGTGAGAGGAGCGGGGACAGAGGGGGTGAGGTGGGAGGGGCGGGGAGGAAGGGAAGTGGAGGGGAGTGGGGGTTGAGGAAGAAGGAAGAGGACACGTATAACAGACTGTATAATAGCGAGGAGCGGGCACGTCAGATGCGAGGGGGACAGATAAACGCACACGGCATGGGACAGGGTGTGAGAAATGCACCTGAAACTTGGCGGCAGCATCGGGATCATTAGGGTTCTTGTCCGGATGGACCTTCCGCGCCTGGAGAGCAGAGGGGAAAAGGAACGTAACGTAACGAAACGTAACAGTACTAGTTTATAAATATTAATCAGCACGCCCTGGTCACTTTGTCCTACAATTGCTTCGGTGTGCGCTCCTGGGAGTTATTGGGTATGAAAATTCTTCAAAAAAAAAAAAAAAAAAAAACCTATAATGAATAAGGTTACTGACCTGTATGTAGTACGCCTTTTTAATCTCCGAAGCGTTAGACTCGGGTTTTATTCCTAATAGATCATAGTACTCCGTCTCCTTCACCATGCCGCGAAAAACGCTGCGACAATCGGCGGCGAATTCTTCCGAATTTTCTATAATTAAAGGAAGACCGCCGATCGCAACGCTTTCGCAGCTCTTTCGCAACGAAGGGCGGTGGAAACTTCCACCCAACGCTCTCAAGTTCCGCAACGAGCAACGTCAGCGGCCGTGCGGACTAGATCAGACCCCGCGAAAATAATCGGCTGTAAGGGGCACTAACGACAATCAAATAGTCTTTCGTTGTTACACGTTAGCGAGCAAACGGGAACCTCGTGATGCTGTCTTGAGACGAGGCGACGGAAAAAGGCAGTGCGTGCGTGCGACGTGTGTGAAGGGGATGCGGAGGACTGGGAAGGCCGCGATTCGTTGAGAGACGGACACAAGCTTCACTAGTGCGTAAATAAGACTGAGCAGCTGAGTGATGGGAGGGAGGGAACGGATGGAACGGTTAGGAGCAGTCATGCGGTTCAATCGGATGCTTCGCATGTCAGAGCGGTTCTTATGCCTTCTAAAATGGTTATGATCATGTACCTACATGCCGTGCTGGGGTGGGGGCGGGGCGCAGCTATGGAAATGGACAGGGGGAAAGTAGCGGGCGGAGAAAGGCAGGTGGAAAGTGGGGGGCGTGGGGGGAGACTGCAAACAATGGCTTCAAGTGCGCGGAACGGCGGAATGTTTGTACCCCCACAGCCATGGGGTTACTTCCGCCAAGCGCTGGTAACGTACGGACAAAGCAGGCGAGCAGCATGGTTTTCCGGAAGGGGGCCTGGTGTGGTGATCATGCTGGTAGGTTCTCTGGCTGGATGATGTTTAGGTTCTAAGCAATGCTATGTATATATATGTAGAGACAATAGAGACTCGAAGACAAGACCTTAACGAGTATTTGGCGAGGCTGCAGTTTGTGCTGCCACAACTCACGCAAATACTCGATACATGAGCTCCATAATAACATATTCATGCAGACAAGAACTCTACCCTGATTCCGAATCTTAGAGCTGCAAAATTACTCACAAAGAAAGATTCGTAAAATTTTTGGAAGTTTAGAGAAGTTTTGTTGCAGTACTATTAGTTGCTCAAATAACATTAAATATCCGAAAAAAACTACCGAAATATTTTTAAGCATATAGTTTTATGCAGAAATATGGTAGTTATAACTGACAGAAATTTGAAAACTATATTCTGCATCGGTTTTCAAGCTTGTATTTTCTGAAATCTCATCATCATTTTGTTTTCTTTGTATGTGACCCATAAGTTGTACATTTGGACCAAGTGTTTTCGATGGTGTACCAGTTTTTATGTTAGCGGCACAACACAAGCAGCATACCCTTTCTAACTGGCCCACGGACTCCGAAAGACGTGAATCCCACTGCAATCAACGGTGGTACCTTGTGCGACAACCTCAGTGGATAAGCTGTTCCCATAACCACGTCACAATCCCCCATCCAGCTGGCACCTTTGAAATCCCGCCAAAACCTCAAGTAAGTATGGTTTACGCGCCAAATTTTGAGCATTTGAATTGTTGAACTTGCGGGTTTGGTTGAGGTTGTGTGGGGGCACATGTGATGATTGCGGGCAGCAATGCTAGGCATGGAAGTTGGTGGTGGGTGAACAAACAAAACCCCAAAAGTTGGGCTGCGAGATTTCTTTCATGTGGCAGGTGACGGTACTTCGAGCCAAAAAGCTGCCCGGAAACGCAGCAATCGCCTCAAATACGGGGTCATGCAGCACCCATCACCATGACCATCATTCACCATCACCATCATTCCACATCACAACCTGCCCGCGCATCGTTCTCCAAACTTCACATTGCCTGCCCTAGTTGACATCCCATCCCATGCCATTCGCAGCCCATCCCACCCCAATTGCCCCACCCCATCCCATTTCATCTCACCTCATCCCATTCAAACCTTTTCCACCTAATCACATACCATACCATCCGATCCATCCCATCACCTCGTTGACATTTTTCTCTTGTTTTCGTCGGGTCAGTCAGCCCCATCCCGTCATCACCACCATCACGACTCCTTGCTGCTTTTGCCTGCTGAGCGGCTGGACCGCTGGGCTTCCTTCCATCCCAACCTCGTGGAAGCAGGAGCTCAGCCGAGGGAGTCGTCATCACTCGGAATTGGGGTTTCTCACTGCCACGCCATGCCTTCACCTCCCTGCTTCCATTCCAATCCCCACCGCACTGACTCACCTCACTGCCCTGCCCGCACCTGACCCTGTCACCGTCCATCTCCGTGCTAATCAAGCCAACCTCCCTCCCCTCCCACTTCTCGGTTCACCTCATTTCTGGTGTTTTTTTTTCGCTCTAGTTCTGCGCGAGTTCTTTCCGTAGTAGCTACATCCCTCCCATGTGTCGCTAGTCAGATTAACCGCGCTGTAATTACGTTGATTCATCCCGTAACTCGTTGGATTTCGACTCTCTTTCTCTTAACATCTCTATAGGAAGCCATGTCTCAGCTGGTCGAAGCGACCACGCGCTGCTGCTGCTTCCACCGATGCGGTCGTATGGGTCGCATTGTTTCTGTCGCCGCGGCCGACGCGCATAACAGAGAGCAGCTGCACCTGCGCGCCTTGCAACTGGATGACCGCAAGGAAGGCGAGCGACGGGTCGCGCTCATGCGACAGCAGCAGCAAGGCCAAGGCGATATGGAGAAATTCGGCGCCACAGCCGGCACCCAAACCGGACCTCCTGGTAGCGCCGGAAAATCCAAATCACGCGGCTCGTCAGGCCCGCGTTTCGCGTGCCGTTGCTCCCAGTGCACTTCCCGCTATGGCAGCCCCGGCCGCTTGCTATGCGAGACCGCATGGCGCGACCACTGGAAGCGACGCGCGGCGGAAATAGTTCTTCAGCAGGAGGAGGTGGAAGCAGCGCCAGTTGCGGAGGTCTCGGATCGCGAGTCGGGCGTACAGGGATGCGGAGGCCGGTCTAAGGGAGCCGTCGCGGGCTCGTTTCTGGCAACCGAAGGGGAAGAGGCCGACAGCGGCGGCCCGTTACCTGGCACGAGCTGCGACCACTGGGGTTCGGAAGCTAGAGTCGTTCGCTCCGACAGTGGTGCTGTTGTCGCACATCACCATCTGCATCAACATCAGCAGCAACATCAGCACCAACAACTGCGCCAACAACAGCACCAACCGCACCAACAATCGCACCACGAGGCACACCAACAACCACGCCAACCTCACCACGGATTGCACCAACAACAGCACCATCAACGAGCGGTTTTCCCCGGCGCGGAGCCTAACGCCGTCTGGACTCCGCCCAGTCATACTCGCGAGTTTCCCTGGCTGTCGTCGTCTCCTAAGGCGCCGCCCGCCGCGGCGGATTCCCCTCCCGCGCGGTGGGAGGGCGGGGTTAGCGCGGAGGAGCGCGTGGGGTACGGCGCGTGGCGGAAGCGGGGGACCGAGGCGGTGGCTGTAAGAAGCGGAGACGCGCTACCTGGGGAGCACTTCGAGGCGCGCAGGCTTCAATTTTCCGACGATGCAGCGGCGGCGGCTCCGGCAGCCGGGCTGCTGGGAGATCTTGAGGGTTCTAAGGACGGCTCGCCTACTAAGAAAGTGAGGGCTGGTCTAACCAGACCACTAGCCGCCTCCGCGACTGGTGAAGCAGCCGCAGCGGCGGCGGCTGTAGCGGCGGCGGCGGCGGCTGTGTACAGAGGTTATCAGGCTCCGAGCTGCCACGTGGCGGACAAGCTACAGCAGCTGCGGTGTTTTGACAATCGCGCGCAAGCGCGACAGGGAACTGCGGCGCTCGATGCGGTGGAAGCCATGCTCGTACATGCTCGCGCCGCGCTCGGTGCGGCGGCTGCGACGGGCTGCGCGGAAGGGACGAACAACACCAACTCGCTTCAAGGCGGCATGCCGGGCACACCTCGAGCCGGCCGGCCGTTTCCGTCTGTGGACGCAGACGAGTGCTTCGCCGGCCGTCTTGACGACGCGTTTCAGCGGCAGCAACACCAGCAGACGGCCGCGGCGCTTTCTCACGGTATGCTGAGACTCCTTTTTGACGACGGCACGCTGGCCGCTTCTGCTGCCGTCAACGCCAGAACCATGGCCGCCGCGGCCGCCGCCGCCGCTGCCGCCGCTGCGACCGCGACTGCGACTGCTGGGAGGGGAGTGCCTGGGGTGGGGTTGGGTCAGGTGATGGTGGGGGGAATGGGGCCCGCTTCTCCTGCTCTAAGTGAGTCAGGGCGCGGAGATTACCGCGCCACACGGGCAGGCCTTTTTGGTAACCCCTATGGTGGTTACATTCAGTAAAGGCATGTATTGTATAGCGTAAGCGTGCTATTTGAAGCATGCCAGCTGATTAATGCATGCGTAGGATACCATTATTGTGCAGGTTTCCTGTTTCTTTTGGGTGACCCGTCTGGGTGGCTTGTAGCGTCCAGATTGAAGTGTGGACCTCCATTGATGGGGCTTAGGGTACATTCCGCTGTGGACACATGTCCCAATCGATGTGTCCCAATCGAGTGTACCGCTCCGAACCGAACTAAACCAGAGACGCGAAAATTTCGAACCTAGGGTGCAATTTGGTGTAATACGATGCAGTGCGGTAGAAACGATTGGGACACATCGATTGGGACATGTTTCTACAGCGGAATGTACCTTTATATCTTGTGTATTCTCGTTCATTTTGTTGCACATACATGAGAAACAATGCCGATCAATGTCTTTGTTCTTATCAGCAATGTATCAGTGCAGTATGGTTTTCTCCTGTGTTATTTTCTTTCATTCAAACACTTCACTAGCGTAAATGTAAATCAAGAATAGGATTCATCTGGAACTGAAAAGGAAACAGCTCCACAGCCTGCGAAGGAGTTGTTCGGGCAGAGTCACTTGAAGTGCTACCCAAGCGCCCGTCTTGAGTGCGGTGGGTGGGGAATTCACTGCCCCGGTTGCGGTTGCGGTTGCGGTTGCGGCCATTGGTGGTCCTTCAGAGCCACAATGGCAAGATTACGAGGCGACATCTCCGCCTGGAACAGAGCCACAACACCATACCAAAACCCACAGCTCTCCAACGCGCCCGCCTGCTCTTTCACCTCAGCTTTCACCTGATGCTTCAGCTGCTCCTCCACCTGCTCCTGCTCTTTCTCTTGCTCCTCCTCTTGCTCTTCCTCCTGCTCCTCCCTCCCATGCTTTTCAACCTCTTCCTCCTCCCCCGCACTTCCCTTTCCCTCTACCATCAACCGGCCGCCCATTTCCTGCAGCCACAGCAGCCGATCGGCCACGAGCAGCGACTCCAGGGGCCCTGCCAGCACGGCACGCAGGCACCAGAATGCACGCACGAGAGGGACGTAAGGGGACACCTCGCCCCACACACTGGCGATGAGGGCTGGCGATGGGGCCGGGGAGATGCGCAGCTTGAGGCACGCGGAGAGGGCATAGGAGGAGAAGGCTTCGAGGTGGTGCTGGTGGGAGGGAGGAGAGGACGGAGGAGGGGAGGGAGGAGAGGACGGAGGAGAGGACAGAGGATTGGAGGGATGAGAGGAGGGAGGAGCGGAGGGCCGGGAGGTGGGAGGGGGCTGTGGCGCACAGGAGGAGTTTTGGTCAGTGTGTGTCGTTGTGTGCTGATCGGGGCTCTCACCCTGCACTGTGTCTGCATGCGCCGCTGCTTCTCTGCATGCACCGCTGCTGGAAGTGACAGCACACGTGGCAGCATCAGGTGAAGCAGCGGAGGCAGAAGCAGCAGCAGCGGCAGCGGCAGCGGCAGAAGCAGCATTGACTGCAGCTGTTACTCTTCTTCTCCTTGTTGCCTTCCCCAGCCGACCCACTCGTATCCCACGCACCCCTCCCTCCTCACTTCCTCCTCCACCCCCTTCCAGCCCCTCTTTAATTCCACCCATGGAAACTACATCCTCACCATCTACCTTACCAGTAACTTTGTCCTTATCTGCGCGATGCCGCCCTATCAGCACCTCCAGTGCCGCCCGGAAGGCATGCACCTCGAAGTTCCCTTCTGCCTCTTCAGGGGGGGTTACCCTCCACCTGTCCGCACTCTGGCACGCCAGGTCACGGCCGTTGCGGCCAATGAGAGGCTGACAGATGTGTGAATCAGAGGCAGTGTATTCCCTTGAGAGAGGAAATGCGCGAACATAGGAGGAGCAGGGGAAGCCAAACGGAGGCAGGAGAACGGCTGGAGGAGCAGGAGCAGGAAAAAGAGCAGGAGCAGGAGAAGTAAGAGCAGGAGGAGGAGAAGCAGCATCGGAGGCAGCATGAAAAGGAGCAAGACGAGTAGACGGGGTCCCAGAATACTGAGACTGTAGTGGCTGAACCAGGGGGGGATGGGCAGCAGCAGGGAGCGAAAAGGCATGCTTTTCCTCCCCGTCACCGACGGCAACAGCCTCTCCTTGCTCTGACAACAGGTTGTAGCAGCACCCCACCATGGCCATGGCTCTGACCTCCGGCTGTAGCACAAAGGCTCGCAGTGCGCTCACTGTCAGGTCGCCACATGCATGCAGCCCTGCCAGCACGCCCCGCACGTTACAGCCGCAGCTGTTGCCATGCGCCTCTGTGCGTTCTCTTTCCTTCCCGTCAATTTTCATGCTGCTGCTTTCCATGTTGTTATTATTCACGCTCCCTCCTACCGTGCCACTCAATGTATCTGCATCCGCATCGCTCTCCTCCCTGCGTCTTGCCTTGCTCTCCTCTCTTTCTCCAGGTCTATCCTCCCTTTCCTCCTCCTTCCCTTTCCCCCCGTTTTCCCCCTCTCCTTTCCCCTCCTCCACGCATGCTTCACCCCCCATCTTCTCCCCACCGCCTCTCAGCAGTGCACCAATCGTGGCAGCTGCCGAGCCAAGAGTTATGGTTCGGGTCACTAGCCTCGGATTCAGCACCAAACCCGTACTTGCTTCTGCTCCAGGTTCGGAGGCACAGGGCCAGGAACCCCCTGCTACTGCACCAGCACCAACTGCTCGTTCTGCTACCCCGTTCTCCTCATTTTCCATCTCCTCCTTTTCCTTCTCCTCCTCCTTTTCCTTCTCCCTTGATCCAATGCCTTCACCCGCTCTCCTCCATTCGCTCTCTTTCCTCTCCTTCTTCCCCTTCCCCCTTTTCCCCTGCTTCCCCTCTTTCCCGCAAGCCTTGCTGGCACGTGCCGCGCGCGTGTGCAACACACGCGTGTGGTGGTGCGACGCGTCCACTGCCACAACGGGCAGCCCGAAATGGAAAGAAAGGATCTGAGACAAATACCCCTGCCCGGCGCCGAGATCAACCACCGTTACAGTGTTATGACTCAATTCTGTCACATTGCTGCCCTTTGATGAACAGTAACCTTCACAGCCATGGGAACAGTGATTCCTGAAGCGGGATGAACAGTGAATGCGGGAAGGGCTGTGGGCGGCAGTGTGCTGTGCGGCAGCTACTACAAGCGACGAGAGCCGTTCAATTTCGTGCAGCTTCTTCGGATTCATGCCACGTGTCAGCTCACGAGAAACTGACGAGAGCCAGGGTTCAGGGTTCAGAAAAGTGTGCTGCTGACGTGTCGTTGCAGCCGACTCTGCCAGTCTGCTGGTGCCACGTGTCACATTTTTAACTCTATTTTCTCCTCGCAACTCAACCGTAACCCTCCCTTCCTGTTCCTCTGTGCCTCTCATTGTCGCCATATCTCTCCTAAGTGAAAGCTTCCTGGCATTTTTTATGAAGGTAACAAGATCTTCTGGCCAATCAGGACCCGCCACGTGGCCGGACGGAACGAGTAGCAGCTCTGACACGCGGCAGGACGACAGAGCGTCCAGCCATCGTGGATCAACGCGTTCCCACAGTTGCTGATCGAAAAAGCTGACGAGATGCGCATTCCACAGCCACTGCCACGGCTGCAGAAACGACAAAAGCGCCGCCACGTAAGCTTGCAGGCCGCCGCCTCCTTCACAAAAGAACTGAGCTGGTAAACAGCTGGCTGTCGTGTGCGCGAGTAGCGACTCGAGGTCGGACTGACTCATGTCCATCGGAAGGATATCCACTTGGCATCAGGCTCGGGGAAAAGGACCGAGAGCTTCGCCACTAAAAAAACAATAAGCGTTGAGAAAATACAGTAAAGATAATGGATAACTCCGTTGTAGTCTAGTCGGTTAGGATACTCGGCTCTCACCCGAGAGACCCGGGTTCAAGTCCCGGCAACGGAATTTCGTTTTGCTTTTAGATTTTGCCCAAAGCACGATGGTTGAAGATGGCTGCATTCCCGAAGAATCAACCCTTGGCCATCCAGCTCCCAGGAAGAGGTTGAATACAGTTGCACTGCTTATCGATAGTAGAGCTCATGGGTATGTGCATGCTTGTAATCCGCGTCACCTCTCTAAGCAGACTCCGCCGCCATACCCCAAGCTACATTCTACTTGGCCCGTAGTTGTTGCTCGAGCAGAGGTCGTAATTCTGTGTGCTTTGCAATGGTAGTGAAGAGATCTGCAGCAATGACACGCACATCCTGGTCACTTGACCTGCGGGCGGGAGGTACAGCGAAGCGTGTATATGTATCTGTGCGAATGAGCAGTGGCATAGGAGAGATGAGTGGTGGAGAGAGAGCGGTGACAAGAATACTGTGTAACAGTATTCACTCCTACCAAAACCTACTGCTGGAATGGAGGTAACCAGCAAGCTACACCAAGAAAGAGCTCCTTCTGACCCTCGCTGAAGGAGAAACCAAGGAGACACCCACACCCTTACTCCCAATTCGAGTGGTTATTCTTTCTACCTTTCCCAAAGTAAACAGGAGGAAGAGCATAAAACCTTGAATCTGTGCAAATGTGAATTCACCGAATGTGAGCTCTCGTGGTAGGAGCTGGCGGTGAGATTAAGGCACCTTAATGAAGATGATGCCGACAGAGCTTTGAAGTTGGCTGGCTGAAAAGGCACCAAATGAAGGGAGAAGGGCTAACCTGGCAAGAGATTGCAGCGGATAGATAGTGAGCCTCTACTATTACGAGGCAGCTTCAGAGACAATCAACAGGCAACTCTAGAGGGAGCGGGTTCGCCTTGCAAAAGCTGGAAGAAGGGGGCGTAGTTGCGAGGTAGCCCCTGAGTTGGCTGAAACGGCACCTCTAGAGGGGAGGGAGGGCCTCACCTGGCAAGAGCTGGCAAGGAGGGGAGTGCGCCTTGGACTGATGCGAGGCGCGATGGCGCATCAGGGCTGCCGTGGGAGTAGATGCAGTGCGTGTGACAACCAGGAGGGAGAGGGGGATTGATGAGAGTGCGGCGGTTGGGTTGGACGAGTGAGGCGAGAGGGGGGAGTGAGTGAGGAGAAAGAGGAGAGTGAGAGAGAGGAGAACGAGCACTGATTGTGGGGATAGTTTGTTTTGACGTGGCAAGACAATGAGTTACAGGGACTAGGGATGTGCTTGTGTGTGAGTGTGGCGAATGTGCCTTAGCAACAGCAGCAGCAGCAGCAGCAGCAGCAGCAGCAGCAGCAGCAGCAGCAGCACGTGCACGGTACCTGGCGGGTAGCAAGACGGCGATGGCAATGAGAGCTCGCACATGCACTTCAGCGGAGTGTGGCGCAGGCAGCAAAGCTGCTACCGGCTCCAATGCACCCTGCATGGACGAGTGCAGAGGGAACCAGGAAGGCAGGGGAGGGGGGAGAGGGGAAGAGGGGAAGAGCAGAAGGACGGGAAGAGCAGGACGGGAAGAGCAGAAGGACAGGGTACTGGTACGTTGGAGAATGATAAGGAATGGAAAGAGATGCTTGTGGACAGGAACGCTTCTCTTGAGAAGATGACAAAAGGGTACAGCACAAGGCAGACAGAAACGAAACGTGGGAAGGTGGGACATGGGGGTGAACCATCGGACGCATCACATGAACCTTGTTGTAGGGGTGAAAAAAACGACAATTCCAGGAGAAAGAGGAGGGAAACGTATGGCTGGGAGAACAAGGGAAGGGTGAGAGGGATGGGGACATGAACAGGAGACAAGGGAGGGAGACACGAAGTGAGGGAGAAGCAGGAGGAGGGAGAGGACGCGAGTGAGTGAGTGAGTGAGTGAGTGAGCGACCTTCGCGACAAGGAGAGCTGCTGCTTCTTTAGAGGAGGATGCAATGGCACACATGGCATCAACCAGTGCCTCCCTGCTCTGGTCTGCCATGCCATGGAGGGCAATGGGGAAATACGGGGGCGGGAAGTGGGGGGAAGGAAGGGAATATGTGGAAAATGAAGTGGGATGGTGGGAGGACGATGGTGGGGGGATGGATGGCACGGGGTAAAGGGGGGCGTGGAGACGAGGTGGGTGGGTTCAGAAGTGGGGAGGGCAATGAGTTTGGAGGAGTGAGAACGGGAGGGTAGCTAGGGGATGGTGTAGCTGACCGGTGTTGTCAGTTGCTTGGAGTGCAGTTACAAGCGCCTCCTGACTCGCACTTGATGTGATGACACTCACTCCCTCCGCACTGGTAAGCACACTCACACACACACACACACACACACACAGACACACACACACACACACACACACATGCACACATGCACACACACATGCACACATGCACACACACACACACACACACACACACACACACACACACACACACATGCACACATGCACACACACATGCACACACACATGCACACACACATGCACACACATGCACACACACACACACACACACACACACACACACACACACACACAAGGGCATGCATGGCGCCAGTTATGTGCATGAGTAAAATGCACACACACACACACGTGCACCGACACAAGCACAGATGAATGTGGACAGGCGCAGAAGCACACAGATGAACTTGCGGTAGAGATGCACAGATACACAGGAAAGGCATATGCACACGCACATGCCTGACATGACATGCAGACATGGCATGTGAATCGGCCCAAACAAGTTGGAAAGCTTAGAGATTAACAGCCGGCATTCCATTCCAACCAAACGTATATTCGATTCCCGTGCTTGCTCCCTCCCTTCATTCATTGACACACCCTACTCACCCATTCACGCCCTCCCTCCCTCCGTCACTCGTGCATATGTCCAATTCCTTGACTCCCTCCCTCCCTCCCTCCCTCGCTCCTTCAACACGCCCTACTCACCCACGCACTCACTCCTGGGCCAAGTTGGAGAGGAAGGCTGCAGCGTTAATGCGCAAACCCACCTCCTCCTTCAGTGCTCCCACCACCAACGGTCCCTGCACACACAACCCAAGGCGCGGGCCGTGGGGGGAGAGGGGAAGAGGGGATGGGGTGGGTGGGGGGTGTGTAGATTCAACTCAATTTCCTTGAAGGGATGGCAGAGTGGTGATACCCAGGAGAAGGTGTGAGGAGGAGTGGGAAGGAGTGAGGAGAAATTCCTGAAGACCAGAAGGATGGCAATAGGATCACAAAAGATCAGATCAGATCAGATTGATTTGTTTGAATTAGATTGCGTTGCATAGCATGGTGTCGTGTGTGTACATACAATGCCTGGCGTGCTGGCGACTGTAGAGTGCAGGTTCTGTGAGCGGGACATGAGGGCTGTGAGGGCCGCCAGTGCATTGCGCTGAAAGGCGGAGGGAGAGGGATACCGGGATAGGGAGAAGGGGGTTGGGGAGAGGGGAGAGGGGAGAGGGGAGAGGGGAGAGAGGGGAAAAGAGTTGGTTGCTAAGTCAAGGGAGGGAGGCCGGAAGAGAAGAGACGGGAGAGCGAGACTTGCGGATATGGGAATCAGAGGAAGTCAAATCAGAAAAATGGAATGGAGGTGCAAAGGTGGGTAAGTTCGCGAGGAGGAAACAGAGAGATGTGAATTGACAACAACAGCGTGTGAGTTGGGAGGATGGGGGGAGCATACGCTCGCAAGCATTGACCAAAAACCCAACACAGCACAAAAAACCCACACCCATACCTACCCGCACGTGAATGTCTGATGAGGTCGTGAGGAGGCTGATGAGCGGTGGCACCTGGCATGGAGGTGGGACAGGACAGGGATGGGAGGGCGGGAGGAAGGGAGGTGAGGCGAGGAGCGGAGAGGAGCGGAGAGGAGAGGAGGGGAGAGGAGAGGAGGGGAGAGGAGAGGAGGGGAGAGGAGAAGCAGAAAGGAGGACGGAAGGTTGAGGGATGGGGGGGTGGCGACGCCGCTGGCCGCACCAGCGCACCCGAGTGCTTGCGCACTGTCAAGGAAACCATACTGGCAAACCATCTGGTTGGCGTTGTGGCAGCATGCAAACCATACTGGCAAGGAATGCATAGATACAGGGCTGAACAACGCACGAGCCTCTGCCTGTGCATGCCTGTGACTCTGCCTGTGACTCTGCCTCTCGGCTTCCCTGCTTCCCTGCTTCCCTGCCTCCCTGCCTCCCTCCCCTTTAGTCCCCCTGCCTCATTGCCTCCCTGCGTTTCTGCCTCCCTAATGCTCTGTCCACATGCGCTCATACACGAGGGACGCACCGCAGAGGGCAGCAGCAGCAGCGCCTGTTCCCTCGTTGCCAGAATCATCACCGCCGCTGCTGCCGCCGCTGCCTTTCCTGCATCCTGACCCACGCGCACCCACCCACCCCGCACACACACACGCACGCACACACACGCACGCACACACACACACACACACGCACGCACACACACACACACGCGCACACACACACACACACGCACGCACACACACACACACACACACGCACACACGCACGCACGCACGTGAGCACACAGACAGAACAAGCAGTCAGAGCGAGAATGCAGAGAGGGAAAGGGAGAGGAGTCAGGCAGGGAGAAAGGAGGAGCATGATGAGTAATGACACATGAGACATAACATGACAGTACAAGGTCGGGGGACCGAGGGGAAAAGTGTACATGGAGCATTGGACAGAGGCGAGAGGAGGGAGAGAGCGGAGCGGAGAGTGGGAAAGGGAAAGAGGGGATGGAAACAATGGGAGGGGAAAGAGGATGGGCAAAGAAGAAGGGAAATAGGGGAGGACGGAAGAGAGGGGAAGCGGGAGAAGGGAGAAGAGGAACAGTAGGTGGTAACCTGCACTTGGTTTTTGGGGCATCTCAAAAACTCATTGTAGCTCCCAGCGCGGGCTAAGTACCTGGTCTTGGAGTAGCTCAACTTGCTCTTTAAACTCCTTTGCCACGTCAGCAGCTGGCGGAAACGCGGGCGAAGTGGCAGGGAAGAAAGAGCGAGCAACTATGACTGGAACGGAAGAATACGTGACGATGGCATTTCGTACAATGGCAGCTCTGCTCTGTACAATGAAGTGCCATCCAAAAGTAAATCGACACCCTCTCTCCGCCTACGCATTTCTCGCTCTCCGCTTCTCTCCACCTACGCTTCTCTTGCTACTCCGGTTCTCCCTCCCTAACCTTTCCTTGCTAATTATGCGGGTTTAAACGGCTCGCCGACAAGGAAGCAGCAAGCTATCCAGTACCGCGGGGCTTCGACAAGTGGCACACTCGATTTGAGCGGAGGCTGATTTGAGGCGCTTCGACACGCGGCTCACCCGATACCATCGGAGGCTGAGAGGCTTGCGACGAGGGCGCGGCGGCCATTGCAGGCGACAACCTGAAGCGCGATGATGCAGGGTTTGCGGAATGGTCTAATGTGCTCCTGAACGACTAGTGCGGTGTCTGGGATTCCAAATATACGAGGTTTCAAAGTAGTAGCTTCAGCGTAACAAGACGTGGCGCCGCGAACGTCAGCATTGAGCGACTTCGGGATTGAGCGACGAGTGACAAGACAACCTGAAACGATCAATGGGACATTCCCTGACCTTGAGTTACTTAGGCCGTAGCTCTCGCGTGAATGGGACAACCTGAAACGATCAATAGGTGTGCGCTACACCGCAAGCGTTCTGTCTAAGCCTCATTTAATAATTAGCACAAACAAGAACCAACTATTGGCACAAGCAGCCTATCCAAACTAAGTAGCCTTATTCGGCAGGCATTTATTTTAATTGCACACACCCTCAATAATTTTGCTCTCACCACTACTGTGAGTGTTTATTTCAGAATGATCACACAATAAATGTCGTCCTGCCATTACCTACAATCTCACACTCAAAGCAGCATGCATAGTCAGCAACAAGCTAGTGCTAGGGCTACACTAGATACTAGCGCCAGCTAAGGCCAATTCAACCTATATCCGCTTCAGCTTTACCTAAAAGCATCACACCTCTAAAATCCACCCACCCACAATACTATCTGCCCTCACCACCAACACCCTCCCCTTCCCAGCCAGTGCAACATGTCGGCATATCCTTAAGAGAGGCGCAAGTGGTGGTGACAGGTCGACGATTAACGCCGAGGCACGGCGGGGTATGGAAAAGCCATGTGAAGTGACTTGGGCATGGAAAACTTTGGGCTGACCAACACCACAGCAGCTGTCTACACTATAGCAAATTACGGTTGCCAGCCCCGTGCCGTCTCTTACACACTTCCGTCTCAGCGTATCACCTGCTGTGCTTGCCCAGCGTGCCCTTGCTGCTGCCGCATGTTGTGGTGCACGCCGTATTAGAGAGCGTGGAGCCCGTTTCAAGCACCAGCGAGTCCTTGTGCAGGTTGCACGCTGTCACTGCACTCGAGCTGCTCGCCAGAAACACGCTCCCCTGCTCTCGTGTTCGCAACACACGTGCGCCACCAGACGGACACACCAAGGGAAATCGAACCAGAGCAGAGGGGAGGACAGAGCAGCAAGGGAGCATGACAGAGGGAAAGACGGAGGGATTCGGATCAACAGGGTGAACGGATACTCCGTTATGAATGAAGGAGTCGACGACGTGCGACAGGAGAGCGAATGAGAGAAAAGCAGGATAACGTGAACACGTGTCAACGGACGGACAGGCGGATTGCGTGACGGGATAGGAGGGGTGAGAGGGGGGCGTACAGGGATGGAGGCGTTGTTGTTGTAGTAGCTGGCCTGGCAGAGGGTGAGACTCGAGTCGAACGCGTGCACTGCACTGCCCACCTGCATACCATGCGCGCAGCGATGGAGAGAGAGAGAGACGTGAGGGAAGCGAGGGTAGAGAGGGTAGTAGCTTAAGATAAGCGGGAGAGAGACATGAGGGAAACACGAGCGGGCGAACCCCTAGCGTGCAACCAACCACGGCGCACGCAGCTCAACGCTAGTCAATCAACGTCAAACTCAGCGCGACGCGACGTACCGCGGCGCTGTTGGCGTTGAACTTGGAGCGGTGCAGGTTGACCGTCGCCTTCATGATCGCGCTCACCGCGCCGCCCGCGGTCGACGCCATGTTGCGGTGAAACACGTTCGCGTCCGCCGTCATCTCCGCGCCCTTGGCCAGCGACACCGCGCCGCCGAACCCCGCGAAGTTGCGGATGAAGTGGCAGCGGTGGCAGTGCAGCGCGCCGCCCTCGTCCACCTCAACTGCGCCACCCGCCGTCGTCTGCGCGGAGGGTTGAACGGGGGAATGGAAAAGAAAAGCAAATGGGGAAGCATCCTTTTCCTCCACCGCAACGGCTTGATCAGCATTATCCCCCACTCCGCGTTTTGACTCCATACGCGATAAGACGCGGGAAACCACACGCAACAGATTCCATCCGCTATAAAAACGATCCAAAAACACACAAGCCGAGATAACCAAGCACCCACGTCTGCCCCTCACATTTTCCCCGCCCTCCCCCTCCCACAAACACACACACACACACACTGGCACCAACCCCAAGGCACTCCCCGTTACACGCCTCCACCACCCCGTCCCACCGCTCCACCGCCGCGTACCACGCCGTAGAGCCCGTTGAAGCGGAAAAAGACGCCGTCGAGGCGCGCCTGGCCGCCGTTCATGATCCAGATGGAGCCGCCACTGCCGGAGATGGGGCGGCCGCGGCTGAGCTGCAGATTGGAGATCACGAGCTGCCCGCCCTTCTCCACTATGAAGTGACGACTGCGGCGACGCGCGTCTATGCGACACATGCCCAGCTGCGACGCGGACGAGGGGAAGAGTAAGGGAGGATGGGGTGTTGTGAGGGAGATTGGGATGAGGAGATGTAATGAGAACGGAGGGAAAGAATCCGTATGCAGGGAGTGGAAGGGCGGTGGAGAGGGGAGAGGGGATCGGCGAAAGGTGGATTTAGCGGCTTGAAACCAATGGAGCAGCAGGTGTGCGAGGAAACGCGTGTATGGAGAGTCAGGGAAATAATGCCGAAGGAACGAAGGCGAAATGAAACGCTAACTGCGAACAGGTGTAAAGAGAAAATTAAGAGTCAAATCGAGAAGCTCCTCGCATTCCCTCTCGGTCAATTAAAGCCATTCCCTTGCACTCCTCCTCTCCAGCCCACCCGCCTCTCTCCTCACCCACACCTTCCCCGCTGCGTGCGCGCACCTCGGATTGCCTGCAGCGCGGATGTCCGGTGATGTTAACGGTCCACGTGATGTTAGGCATGGGGCCTTTGAGGTAGAATGTATCAACGATCACGATCGGCCGGCGCTGGTTCAGTGCGCGGATCAGCTGCCCGTAGTTAGCCACCATAGCCGGAGACCACGGATCGTTGTTCCCCTTCATAGTATTCCCCACGGCCACGCCTCCGCCGCCGCCCGCGCCTGCGCCATTCCCTTTCTTCCCCGCTTCCACTGCTCCGGGTGGGGTTACGGGCACCGCTGCGCTGCCATTGCCGGGCGCGGGAACACCTACCTTCGGCTCCGGCACAAGAGCGGGAGGCGGGACGGTAGGCTTGTCGGAGGATGGAACGGGGACTTCCGACGTAGGATTGGGTTGCGCGACAGCGGGTCGGAGTTGCAGCAACGTGAGGAGGAGGAAGGTGGAAGAGAGTATAAGCACTAGGTTACGATCGCGTCGTATCGCCATTCCGTGAAGCTATTGAGATCGCGGAATCAGTATATGACTAGCGAACGTGCTATGAAGTATCGGAACGTATAAGAAGATGCTGATACCGATATGAGGGGTGTTTTTTTGGCAGCAGGGACACGCTTCGAGTGTGACGCATTAACTTTCTAGTCTATTGGTTGGTCCCCGCGTCTTTTGGCAGTCTTACTCGATGACAGTCTTTTCCCACGTACAGTGCGTTAGTTTCGTACGGTTTGCCTGTTCGTTGCATCAGAAGGGAAAAGGCGATAATGAGGGAATCGGGATATGCTCAGTGGCTAAGGATTCACCAGTGCCAACAACCTGTGAGAGCAAGGCGAGTAATGCAAAGGTGATAGGAGACAAAGGGCTGGGCGAGAGTTGGACTAGGATCGGAGGAGCGCGAGGGGGAGGGATTGCGGTTTTGGCGGGTTGGCTGGTTGGAAGTTGGTCCCAAACAAGCAAGGATGCAGCAGCACGTTGCGGTGGATTCCAAGGAGTGGGGCATTGTTGTGAGCCATGGCTCGAAAGGGAAGCCAACCAAAACCCACGGGTGGGAGGGGGAGGGACGGACAGGCTGGGCTGGGCTGGGCTTGGTTGGGCAGGGTTGGTTGATCGAGCCAAAGTCGAGGCGGTGATGCAAATGGACTCCAATCGCTGAATCTAGGATACGAGTCCCCGAAATGGACGGGTAGGATGTTTTCCGGCTTGGGCGGGACACTGGTGAAAGGGCGCTGGAATTCAAATTTCGGCCACGGCGGGACTTCAAGAAGCAATTTCTCGAAGAGCCGATTTTGTGGGTGGACAAAACCGAGTCGTACAGCGACACGGGGACGCACGAAAAGAGCGTCAAGAAGTCCAACCCGCCGATCTGCCACAAATCAGAGCACCTGCGTCGAATCGTGGGGACAGGAAAGGGCTGTTGGCGCCAAAACATCCCAGCTTCCCTCCGTTTCGGATTTCCACTAACACAACCGTTGTCGCAAAACCTCAAGGTTTATCAACTTGCAAGGTCCCGAGTTACTGTACCACAAATCGAGGATATAAAGGCTATATGTTCACTGTGTTTGTACAGTCCATTCTAAACCTTCACATCATTCTATCATGCAAAATAGTACAAGATGCTATGAAAATTGTGCAAGATGACAAATATTAAATCATTAGGGTATATTCCTGCAAAGAAATGTCTTCGTTTTAGGCATCACAGAGGCAACGTACCGCTCTCCACTGCATTGCACCTAAGGGTACATTCCTAAAGTGCGTCACAAAGGCCTCGCGTCTCAAACGAAGAGATACAGTGCGGTGCAAATGTTTGTCTCTTAGGTTTAATGCGGTGCAAAACGATATATGTTGGAAACAATAAGTGTCAGAGGTCCACTGGGGATCCCCGATGATCCTAGGGAAGGGTTACAGGCATGTCGGCCTGGGGGGTTATGGGCGCACTTGTCAGAATGAAGAATGGATGGTGCATTGATGTTGGTTGGGGTACATATAGCTAACCCTAAGTTTTGTACCCCCTAAGACAAACCTCACTATAGGCTACAACATTTGACACACCCCCATAGCCTAAGTGAGGGGTGTCTAGCAGAACCAAACGAGTACGGTCACAAGACCAGTCCAAGAAACAAAGCTCAGGGTGGATCACAACGTCACCACACAGTCTGAGCACAAACAACAGTGGCCACAAGGCCAGTCCAAGAAGTAACAGAGATATATAGAAAGCAAAGTAAACAGTACACTCAAGTCTAAGCAACACGAGAACCAGTGTCAACAAGGCCTAACTGCACACAGCACCTCTGGTGGTCACAAGGCGGAAGCGCCTTGGTGAAGATGTCTGCAGTGTTGGCCTCGGACTCCACAAACTCAAAGCGAGCCTGTCCACGCCTCTGCAACTCTCGCAGAAGAAAGTACCTGACGTGAATGTGCTTCACTCTGCTCTCCAGTCGTGGCTCTCGACAAAGGAGAATAGACGCCTTGTTGTCAGTGAACAAGGTCGGTGCAGAGCTCGGCCGCTCACCAAGGTCGGTGAGCAAGAAGGTCAACCAACGCAGCTCCTGTGCCGCCATGGCACCAGCGTAGATCTCAGCCTCAGCTGTAGAGGTCGAGACCGAAGAGGAGCGCGTGGACCGCCAGGAAACAGCTCCAGAACCCAGGCTGAAACAGTACCCCTGAGTAGACCTGTGAGTCTCAGCGTCGTCAGCGTAAGAGGAGTCACAGTGACCAGTAAGTACGACAGACTGCTGCCCTCCAAGAACTAGCCCCACGCCTGACGTCGTCGCTAGGTACTTCGCCACCCTCACAGCTGCTGTCCAGTGAACAGGACGGTGTCTCCCTGGCGCAACAAAGCGCGCAAGAACGCTGAGAGGGAAGGCGAGGTCCGGGCGAGTACAAGTCATCAGGTACATGAGGCAACCCACAAGCTCAGCGTAGGGACCACTAGGCTCGAACGGCTCGTCAGGAAAGGGTCCAGTGAGTCTGTGGTCAACAGCAAGAGGTGTGCGCTGTACTGTGGAGTGCTGAAGCCCGAACCGCTGAAGGACCTGCTGCACCATGTGCGACTGTGAAAGTGTAATGGTGCGAGCAGCTCTGTCCCTGGTGATCTGCAGGCCAAGGTAGTGGCGCAGCTCACCAAGATCAGTGCAGGTGTGTCTCTTCTGCAGTTCGGACTTCACGTGTGCCAAAGCAACCCTGTCAGGGGTGGCGAAAACAAGGTCGTCAACGTAGACCAGAACAAAGAAAGGTGTGGTGCCACGACGAACGAACAGCGACGGGTCAGCAGAAGACGGCTGGAACCCAAGGTCAGACAGGGTAGAACGCAGGGTGTCGTGCCACTCACGAGGAGCCTGACGAAGACCGTAAACCGGTCGCCTCAGCCTCCACTGGGTCCCAGGAGGGAAAGTGCTAGTGAAGGCAGAGGGACGACGCAACCAGACCTCCTCGTGAAGACTGCCCTGAAGGAAAGCAGTAGAGAAGTCGAGAGAGTGTAACTCGTAGTCTCTCTGTGCTGCTACGTGTAGTAACACCCGAAGAGTGGTCATCTTCGGGGTGGGCGCGAAGGTCTGAAAGAAGTCAACTCCCTCGCGCTGACTGAAACCTCTAGCCACGTAGCGCGCCTTGAAGACCGGAGGAGATCCCGGTGGCCGCTTCACCCTGTAGATCCACATGCCGTCGACTACGTTCGCCCCCGGAGGGGGAACCTCATCGACGTAGGTGCCTGTGGATCTGTAGGAGGCCATCTCTGCGTCCATGGCAGCTCTCCACTGAGAGGCCCAAGGCCCTGACACTGCCTTAGCGTAAGTGCGAGGAGTCGGAATGTCAAGGGCGTCGGGGTCACCCTCAGGGGCGAGGAGCATGGCACAGAGATGAGGGGAAGCGGCCGCCAGGAACTCTAGCTCAAACTGCCTGTCCTCTAGGGCGTCACAGCCAAGGGCAGACACACCCCCGACGGCCAGAGGACTGGAAGGAGGAGCAGCCACAAGAGCGGTGGCGAAGTCAAGGCGGCGGGTAGAGGCAAACTCAGTGACTGCGGCAGTAAGAGCGGACACAGAGGACACAGAGGCACGAGGGTGAGTAACAAGTGAGGCGAGAACACGAGAGAGAAGAGGACGGTACGTGCGGTAGTAGTCAGTGACAGGAGTAGGGAGCGACGCAGTGAGAGCCGACTCAGGAGGAGACGGAAGCACAGACGGAGACGGACGAGGTGGACTAGAACGAAGTAAGGCAGTACGAAGGTCAGTGAAGGGAACAGGAGACGAGGGACGAGCACGAGGGGAGCGACGAGAGGCCCAAGTCTGAGAAGGAGGAGGGGACAACGAAGACTGAGAACGAGGGAAAACAGCGGGAGAGGGGTCAGGAGGAGGAAGCGGAGGACCAGAGACGGGAGGAGAGGGGGAGGAGGAAGGAGAGGGAGAGGGGAGACCAAGGGTCCGAAGACCCGAGACAGGAGGAGGAGACGGCAGCTGCTGCTGCTGCGGCTGCTGCGGCTGCTGCTGCTCCAGCGGCTGCTGCCCCTGCTGCTGCTCCTGCTGCTGCTCCTGCTGCTGTCGCTCCTGCTCCTCGAGCCGCTGCAACTCTCTCTCCTCTCTCTCCAACTCCAGCTGCTCCTCACGAGCACGACGAACACGAGCCTGGAACCTGGTCGGGTAGGGGTGGGGGGAAGGAGTAGTGTCCGGGGCAGCGGCAGCCCCAGAGTCGACCTCCGAAGCACCAAGCACACCACCCCCAGAGGCAGCACCAACACCAGCTCCAGACCCAGGCTCTCCAGAAACCGAAGGAACACCCTCACCCCCAGACGCAGCACCAGCACCCCCAGACTCCGCACGACCAGTACCAGCCCCCGGAGGAGAAGAGTCCTCTGCAACCCGCGGCTCAGCTCCAACTCCAGCACCCCCAGAACCAGAGACCTGTACAGGGACAGTCGTAGGACCAACCTCCCGAGAGGGAGCACCTACAGGAGGCGGTGAGGAAGACTGTGGGGAGGGAGGCTGTACAGGGGGGGCTACCGAAGGGGGAGGGCTAGCCTGAGACACACCAGACGGGGCTGGACCAGGGGGGGGAGGCTGTACCGGGGGAGCAGGCGGGGGAGCGGCTGTCAGGAAGAGGGGGGGAGGAGGAACCGGGAGACCTCGACTGGGGTACCTGACGTAGTACGGGGTGGACTCCTCGAAACGGACGTCACGGGAGTCAAAGAACCGGTGAGAGGGAGGGTGGTAAAAGGTGAAGTCAGAGGAGTCCTCAGGGAAACCAAGGAAGACACAAGGAACGGCGCGAGGCGAGAGCTTGTCCGCGGAGGTGTCGCGGACAAGAGCCAAGCACCCCCAGACACGAAACCTCGACGCGACACCAGGGGACCCTGTCCAAAGACTGGTCGGTGAAGCCTCCGGCCGAGAGACGCGTGGCCAGAGGTTCAGCTGGTGCGCGGCGTACCTGACTGCGTATGGCCACAGGAAATGGGGGGCACGGGCGTGAGTCAAGGAGGTGCGGGCAATCTCCATGACCAGGCC